CAGTGCTAGGGATCCATCCCAGGGCCTTGTGCATTTTAGGCAAGTGTTCTGCCACTGAGCTACTTCCCTAGGCTTGCAGGCTCGGGACTCTTAGACATCAGTGTATGAAAACGAGAACATTGCCTTGTGCGGTCTTAAATATCAGTATCGTACCCCCACAATTTAACATTGGTACCATAGAACAGTTTCTGCAATCTCTACTTTTAAATTTTATCCTAAAACATGTCTTTATAACTGTTTCCTCCCCCACCTGTGGGATCTAATCCAATTTTACATTTGCCTGTTACATGTCTATCTGTATTCTTTTTTTTTTGATACCAGGGATTGAACTTGGGTCCTTGCGCTTGCACAGCAGGTGGCGTCTATCTGTATTCTTTTTTTTTTTTTGGTTCGAGGGATCAAACTCAGGTCCTTGCACTTGCGCAGCAGGCGGCTCAACCACTGAGCTAAATCCCTGGCCCTATCTGTATTCTTTATAGAGACTGTCTTGGCAAACTCTTTATAAAAGGGCCATATAGGAAATGTCTTAGGCCACAGAGTAAATATTGCATCCATTCCACTCTGTGTTATGTAAACAATTAAGTGTGGCTGTGTTCCTGTAAAACTATTTGTCAAACTAAGCAAGTCATGGGTTGTAGACTCCTTATCTAGAACAGAGCCCTTTCAGATCTTTAATGATACTATTTAATGACTATTTTGAAGAATCAGTCCAAATTTTGTGGCAGAATATCCCCAATCTAAATTTTGAAAAACGTTTCCTCATTAGTTTTTTAAGGTTACTAGTGCTGATCTAATCTTGTGCGTGCATGTGTGTGTGTGCGTGTGTGTATGTGTGTGTTTGAGTGTGTGTTGCTGGGGATCGAACTTTGGACTACTGCAAACTAGGCAGGCACTTTGCCACCAAGCTACACCCCAGCCCCCATGTAATTGTAAGAATCATTGCTGCAATAGAAAGGGAAATCTGGTTCTCTGAAAAAGATTTTGATGTAGTTGAAAATAAAATTTTTCCTTTCTTCCTTTCCTTCTGTATTGATTACTGTATATGTAATGTTACTGCCTAGAAGTTGGACAGTAGATTTAATTTCCAGGTTGCTAATTCCTTGATATTCTCTTTCAGACATCAAGACTTTTACCTATATACTCTTTTATATAAATGTTTTTATATTCACAGATGTGAATAAAGAATTCAAGAGGACTTGGATACTGAAAGGTAGTGAAAATAACTTAGATATAGATTTGAAAGGCATTTTGTATTTTATTTTAGCCAAATATAAAAACTAACATTGTCTTTATATTGAAGGCCTGAAACAAAAGTAAAATTAATTTTTTTCCCTACAGATAAGCTCACTATTCTTAGCATTGTGTAAGATTCAGTTTTAGAAATAGAAAAATAAATTCTACAGATTTAATACAAAGCTATCTATAGGAAAGCTGTAAGTATACTTGGATCCATGCAAAAGCATGTGTAATTTTTTTTTTTTTTTTTTGGTACCGGGGATTGAACTTGGGTCCTTGCGCTTATGCAGCAGGCAGAGCATGTGTAATTTTTAAATTTCTGTTCTCTTACTTGGTTCAGTGAGGAGCAAAAATGGCAGTAGAATGTTTTACTGGCATTAAAAGCTTTAGGAATCTTAATGTTTTAAAATTTCCTTTAACTGTCCGGGTGAACATCTGTGGTGAGTGAGTACTATTTTACCGGCTTCTGTGGGTTTTGACTGAGACAAGATTTCCCTTTGGTATTGTGCCTTTTTCACAACTTGCTTCTGGGCTGGGGATTTAGCTCAGTGGTTTTGTTGCCTGCTGCACAAGAGCAAGGACCCAAGTTCAATCCCCGGTACCTAAATAAATAAATAAATAAATAAAATAAATTTATTTGTTTATTTATTTCTTTTTGGAACTGGGGATCGAACTCAGGACCTTGCACTTGCAAGGCAGGCTCGGTGCCACTGAGCTAAATCCCTGGCTGAATGTTAAAAAGGAAACAAACTGGGGCCAGGGATTTAGCTCAGTGGTTTCGCTGCCACCCGCTTCGCAAGCACAAGGTCCCGAGTTCTATCCCTGCTACCAAAAAAAATAAAATCAGCTGCCTTTTAAACATACATACATAGTTGTTTGTTAAATAAAGCTTGAAATAATGCTCTTTTAGAGGTTTTCTTTTTTTGGCTAAATATTATAAGCCTTTAATGATTCCTCTCAGCCAATACACCCTCACTTTATGATCTTGGCAAGTTAATTTATCTGTGTTTGATTTTTTTTGTCTTTAGAGTAAGGATAATGTTACGTCTGGTATATACTACGTGAATGTCAGACATCATTACTAGTTCTTACTACACAGTTCCTCAGTTATCTTGTCTGCCTGTTAACCTTTTTCTGAAAGCAGAGCTAAATTCATAGGCAGGTGTGATCTGACCCGCCCAAAAGGTCATTTCCCCTGATAATTTTGACTCGTTGAGTTTTCTTTTAAAAATTTATTCTGGAGAATTCTACACATACAGAAGAGTAGGTGGATTAGTCCAGCGGCTCTCCCTCCTCAGCACAGTACAAGGGCCAGTGCTGTCTTTTCTTCCCTGCTGTTGTAACCCTGGTTCCCCTTTCTGAAGTCACCTGATTGATCGTGGTGATGACTGAAGCTTTTAGGATACTGCCTTGTTTTCTTAGCAAGTAATTGTTGAATTAATGAACAACTGAATCCTGCCTTGGATTCTTGCCTGGAACGGCTTCCGTAGTTTGCTTCTGTAAGTGGAGTGGGTGGGTGGGTAGCACTGAAAATTGATTTGTTTACATCGTGCCAGTTTTTTTTAGCTGTCACTGAAGTTTTTTATAGTTCATATCTGCACAGGGATGTATATTGTAATCTTAAACTGGTAAAATTCTTTTGAGTATTCTGGGAAATAATTCAGATTACCTGGGAGAGAAGACTTGACATTACTATTTTCCTGCAGTCTGTGCGTTGTCTGGTGTTTATGCTCAATAGTCATTGTGTCTTCACTTTTAAAAAAGAAGTAAAATTGGAGGTGAAGAGTTACACCTTCTTTGTCATCTTTGTTGGAATTATTGTTAAAGTCAGATTTATTGTGGAATAATTTGCATCCAGAAACATTGTTATCATATGGTATTGGCTTAGTCACAGGCTTTCCTTCCCTCGCTCCGAGCAGAACTGAGGACAGCTGCCTCTGTAACTTGACTGTGGTGCTGTCTTCACGCCGCAGCTCATATTTTATAATTCTCTTCTTGTGCCTATTGATTGTTACTGGCCTGCGGAAGTTTGCTGAAACTTAAGAAATCCAAATTATTTAAAAAGTGACTCTGAAGATAACTCCTCCTCACAGAGGTTGAGAGGCTGCGGCAGGTTTGCTTCTGCTCCTCAAGGCAGGACAGCAGTCAGTGTGCGAGAGGCCTGCTGCGTCCTCCGGCCCTGTCCCCACCCTGAGGCTGACCTGACCTGGTGACAGTACAGGCAGGGTGGTGCTGGCAAGCCCCCCAGGCAGAGCAGCCTGGGGAAGTGAAGTTTATACTGAGCCTGTGTCTGTGTGACTTAGCCACAGCGACGTAGGACGCCTCTGCCCTAACTCTCAGAATCCCAACTTCTAAACCAAGTCCCTAGGCTTGAGAGGAGTCCTGCACTGTTGCAGTTTTGCCTTAGTTAGTGACCATTTCATCGAGCTCAGCTCACAGACTTTGAGGGCAAGATGTCTGAGCTGGGGAATGAGAGCACCATGTTGCACTTACGCCGTTGAGCTGAGCCTGAGTCGCAGTATTTGACTTTGATGGTTCTGCCGGTTTGCTGACTTGGGAACCCAAAGGATTCAGTAGACTTTTGGCTCCACAGAATGCTAGTCCATTCATTCGTTCCTTCAAAAGTATTGAGCATCTGAATGCTGTGAAGTGCACTGCCCACTGGCTGAGTACAGCGGCAAACAACACATGTGCGCGCCGTGGCGGGTTTCATAGTCTAGTGGGAGACAGTACATTGGAAGCTATCAGGGAAACTGCTTCGCCAGCAACTCCGGGACTTAACCACTTGGGGTTTTTTTTGAGGTTTTCTTTGGTACTGGGGATCAAACTCGGGACCTTCCACTTGCGAGGCAGGCGGCGGAACCACTTAGCTAAATCCCCGGCTTAACAACTTGTTTGAAAGTGAACTTGGAGTGACTTTTTCTTGTTTCTTTTTGCAAAATGTAAATGAATGTTCAGGGTACTTGGGTTACAGCATTTCTGTATGTATACTGACAGGAGAAGTTAGAGATTTGCCATGGGGCAGTGTGAAGGGGTGGTATGAGAATGAGGTAATTCGTATATACTGTGTGTAGTGTAGTGAGATTTCAGGGTAGTGACAGGTAATAGAATTGTGTGGTTAAACTATATGTTAGCTGGGCTAAAATGGGCTCTTTCAGGCAGGGAAGTAAAGATAACTTTATGGCTTCTCTGTAAATGCACAACACTTCAGAATTGAGCATTTGTCGTTATCTTAAATGGTAAGGAAAAGGAGAAGGCTTGTTACAAAAGTGGATCTGTAACATAGGAGGTGTATAACGGAGCAGATGAGAACATGAGGCCTAAGGTGGTGCCTATATTATGTCTGTGGCACTAGGCAAGAAAAGTGCCTAAAATCTCTTACTCTGTCAGAGTGTAACAGCGTCTGGATTGGGTGATCCCTCCTAGATTAAATTTTGTGCTTTTTAAAAACTTTAGCAGTTTCTTTTATGACTTTTGATTGTTGGAAAGTTAGATGCTTTCTTATTTCCTGTACTTGTTCAAGGTTCAAGAATTAAAAATTTAAGATGGGGGAAGAAGGCTTCACTTTCTCTAACTGATATTTTCTAACTAGGTACTTCGTAACTCAGGAAGACCTCATTTATTCCCAGTAATATGTTTTACTAAACTCTTTCAGGTAACTTTAAAAAGACTGTGTGACTTAATAGTAGATCATGGCTTGAGCTCAGTCTTTATTTCTGTTGTTGCCGGGAAAGTGTGGTGAGACCTCTCTCTTGTCTCTGTAGTTATCAGAGACTGCTGCAGACCATTGCTGTCCTTGAGGCTCAGCGCTCCCAAGCAGTCCAGGACCTCGAGAGCCTAGGCAAGCACCAGAGGGAAGCGCTTAGAAACCCCATCAGATTTGTGGAGAAACTCCAGACAAAGGTATACTCTGACCTTTCTAAGATCTAAGGTATTTCGGCAATAACTTAAGCGAACTTATTCTGTTACCTGAATTTATACTTTTAAAAACATTTGGCTTCCTCCCTCCTAGTTGACCATGCCACTGAGGGCAGGATCACCTTTCTTTACCCTGAAAGGCCCGCAGCGAGACCTGGATGAGAGTCAGCAGCAGCTTTGCCAGCTGTGTGGCTGCACTTGGCCCGCCCTCGGGCCCAGCTGGGAGGGCTTCTCTCCTCTGCTTCAGCTAAAAGGAGACACACTTCAAGACTTACTCACTATGCTTGTTTGGGTTATTTTTGCACATGAACAAGAGGAAACAACAGTAATAGAAACAAAAAAATCTATTTCAAGTGTCTTTAAGGTTTTGATAACCAAGTCCATGAGAACAGAGCATACATTTTATTTAACTGTAAAATACCTGTATTTTAGTGTGAAAATTCCTCATAACTTTCTCTTTTCCTTAAAATAAGCTTTCATGTTTAAATGTTTCCCATTTAAAAGTGATAACAATTATTATAATAATTTTCTGAATATATAAATATAGAGATAACTAGATGTGTATCTGTGGTATAATAAGTGTCCTGAATTAGGGAGCCACAGATTGCTATCTTTTTTGTTTTGTTTTTAAATTTTTGACATGTTGGTGGAGATTGAACTAGGACCTTCAACATCCTAGGCAGGTGCTCGCTCTACCACTGAGTTAGAGCCACATCCCTGCTCTATAAAATGGAGAGGCATGTTGTTACTCAGCATTTTGTGGAAAGATTAAAACTGAGAAATTATGAAAAAAGAATCCTCTGCCTTTAAAAGAAAAACTTCTATATATGACAACTTTAGTATGTATGAGTCACCTCTTTCTACTGAGTTAGAAAAGCATAGTCTACCAGATATTGGAGGTAATTTGATGTATTATTATGTGGATTTTTCTCATCGTTTACTGCCAAATACCCTTTTCCACATGGCTAGAAAAACATTGAATTTCTTAATAGATTTGCATGCAGTTGATTATTTACTGCTTCATTTCTAGGATTTTTCTTCACTTTCATTGAGAAATAGTTTTTACAAAAACACAGAAGTATATTAAACCTAGATACTTTAATAACCAACTTAAATTCCTTTGAAAAAAATTTTTTAATTAAAAAAATTTTATTAGCCTATGTTTGCAGTATATAATGATCACATTCATCATAGGGAGTTGCTACATGTACGCCAACATGTCTTAATTCTTTTTACTTCTCCTTCACTCTGAAAATTTTTTTCTGCTAGATGTGTCATTTTTTTGTGTTTACTCATGCATACTTTAGATATGCCATATTAAGTTGTTGATATGTGATCATTTGTTTCATCACACGTCTAAAAATTCCCAATGTGAAATTATTGAGACGTGTATAGAATGCAGAGAACATTTACAGCTTGTCAGGGGTTTTTGAGACAAGGTCTTGTGAAGTCTCTTAAGTTGCCCAAGCTGAACTCAAACTTACAGTCCTACTGTCTCAGCCTCCCAGAGACTTACTAGTTTTATTTTATATTTCCATCATTATTTTATTTTATTTTATTTTTATTTATTATTTTTTTGGTACCGGGGATCAAACTCGGGTCCTTGTGCTTGCGCAGCAGGCGGCGAAACCACTGAGCTAAATCCCCGGCCCTCCATCATTATTTTAAAAGACCTCATCTTCTAATTTTTAAAAAGTTGAACGAACCTTAGCACAATATGAAATATTATGCTAATGGTAATGATGCATTATGCCGTAAGCAAAATAAAAACTAAGAACTCCATCATAGGATTTTTCTTGCTGATTTCATAATTTATGACCTGATCCCTCCACTTTATTATGGAGAATTTTAAACACAGAAAAATTGCAGGTATTGTATAATTAACACACTTATGCCATCACCTAAATTCTATAATATTGTAATTGCTTCATCATATCTGTCATTCTGTCCATCACCTCATCTTATTTCAAAGTGGATAGAATGCATTTGATCATTTCAGATATATAGCACTAAAACACTTCAGTGCACATATAGTTAGCATTCTTTTTGACCTCCTTCTTTCCCTCCCCTCTCCTTTCTTCCTTCCACTCTTCCTTTTTACCTTCCTTCCTACCTTCTTTCCTACCAACCGAGCTCAGGGCCTCAGACAGGTTAGGCAAGAACTCTACTACTGAGCCCACTTTATTTCTTAAAGGTGAAATTTGCATACAGTGAAATTGATAAATCCCAATTGTATCTTTATGTAGTTCTGACAGGTGCATATACCTAAATCCTTATCACAACATAGAGATCATAGTGACCTGGTTTTACTAATTATGACAAGTGATGACTTCTTTAATGATGGTTGGTAAAATAACTGAATTTCAAATAACTAGAGGTGGTTTTGGCCTGGGGAAGGTAACTCAGTAGTAGAACATTTGTTTAGTTCACACAAGGGCAGATTTGATAGCTAGCACTGGAAAAAAACAAAAATGAAAGAAAGAAAAGAAAAAAGATGAAAAGATGTCATAATTTTTGTAAATGTGGTAAAGGCTTATGGATCATGAAAGTACTTCATTGTTTTACAAATAAGTCGCACACAATGGGGTATATTTAAAAAGAATTTTGTGTGTCAGGTATTATCTGTTATAATTAAAACATTTCATGTGCTGTTCTGAGAGAAAAAACATGTTTTACTTGACATTTATGTTTGAAGTGTGTTAGTGATGTTTTGGATACGGACATACTGTACTGCACTATTTCTAAATGGTACTTACATTTTACCAAATTCATTTTTCCTTTAAGTAAATGGAAAAATGTCTTCAGCATTTAATGTTTAGACTTAATGTCTCAACTAACTTTATTGTTTGTTAGATTGTTAGTGAATAGAAATGCTCAGTTGGTGGTTATTTGAATTTGGTGACTGAAAATTTGAGCACAGTTGATTATTTCTTGAATTAAATTTATCTTGTTTTTTGTTTTGTTGTGTTGTGTTTTTTTCCAGGCTGATATAGGGCTTCCATATCCACAGAGAGTTGTTCAGTTGCCTGAGATTGTATGGGACCAATATACCAATAGCCTTGGGAACTTTGAAAGAGAGTTTAAAAACCGTAAAAGGCATACTAGGAGAGTTAAGTTAGTTTTTGATAAAGGTAAGAAATCACGCGATAAGAATTTACTTAGAGAACTCTCTGGCAGTGTCTTGCTTTAATAATTCTATGCACCCTTTTGCCCTTAGTAGGTTTACCTGCTAGACCAAAAAGCCCTGTGGACCCTAAGAAGGACGGAGAGTCCCTTTCATACTCTGTGCTGCCCTTGAGTGATGGTCCAGAAGGCTCCCACAGCCGTCCTCAGGTGAGTAACTGATATTGGGGTAGGACGTTCAGAGTTTTAGACCAAACATTGTAACATTTTGCTGTTTTGTGTTCTGGAATGTCCGCAAGCTATAGTTCCCTTTTATGTCAAAGTGCAATTGTATTGCCTGTGTTGTAGGGTTGTCCTGAGGGTTAAATGGGTGTCACATGCCCTATGCTTTGTATGAGGTCTGATACATGGCAGGCTTTTTTTTTTTTTTTTTGTGGGACTGGGGATTGAACCCAAGACCTTCTCATTGAGCTATATTCCCAGCCCTTTATTCATTTTGAAACAGGATCTTGCTAAATTGCCTAGGCTGTTTTCAAACTTGAGATCCTCCTATCTCAGCTTCTTAACATGCCACTTAATAGGGATATGGCAACACTCTTGGGTTGACACATTTTTACTATAAAAGTAGCTGACTGTGGCGGTGCACACCTGTAATCCCAGCACTCAGGAGGCTGAGGTAGAAGGATCGCTGAGAGTTCAAGGCCAACCCAAACTACATAGCAAGACCCTGTCTCAAAAAGAAAAGGGGGCTCTTAAACTGTATGTGATGGTGTGTGCCTGTAATCTCAGCTCTCAGGAGAGGGTCATGAGTTCAAGGCCAGCCAGAGCTATAGGGCTACATAGTGTATAGTTATAGTGTAATGGGACCAGGATTTTTGTTCTGGCTTTGCCCCTGTTGGTTATAGACATGTTACTTTTTTTTTTCCCCCATTTTGAACCCACGTTTCCTTTTTTTTCTTTTTACACTTGATCTTAGTCAAAAAGCTGAGAAGTGATCTTTTTTTTTTTTTTTTTTTAAGAGAGTTTATTATCATCTATATGACAGGATTGTTGGGAGTATAGATGTAAAACCAAATGTAAAATATGAATGTAAAAAAAATTGTGTATACATTAAAAAACAAATTTATCAGAGTATCTTGAAAAGTTCCACAATTGGTGTGTTGTTATTCAGCTATCACAGAGTAGTCTTTGTTATTTTCCCTATGGAGAAACAAGCCTTGTTTTATGTGCAGATGATAAGAGGCCGGCTGTGTGACGACACCAAACCCGAGACGTTTAACCAGCTGTGGACAGTGGAAGAGCAGGTAAGGGGAGTCAGCCCCTAGGGTTAGAGTTGGCGTTACAAGCCAAGCGTCTATTGTATGCATGACTTTAAAACAGTTACACTTAGTTTTTACACCTTTTTGCACATTTAAAGAATTTTGAATTTGAGGCTGTGTGAACTGCTGTTTGGGAGAAGGAACTGGCGTTTCGAGTAGGGATAGAAATGGATGGAGTAAAGTAGATGTTTTCGTAATGCAGCTTTGGGGGAGAAAAAACTCATGAAGCCAAGAAACCAGAGCCTCTGAATACAGTCTTAACTTTTCTTGTGGGGGCATCTGATGAAGTCAGGTCAGAGTGTTCTGTTACCCCTGGACTATGCTGGGGCAGTTTGGGGTGAAGTCTGATGTGTGTCTCGTGTGGGTATTAACACTACAGCTATAATAAGCTTAGCAGTTTATGAAGAACTTTCAGAAACCTTCGTTTCAAGCATCCAGATTATTGTGTGTCTTGCAGACTGTAAAAATTTAGAAGATAGGAGGACCACACAAAGGAAGGAAAAGCCTCTTTGAATATTCTAAATCCAAGGAATTCACGCATACGGTGGTTTTGCCAAAACTGTAGGAGAGAGCCTGACTTATTCTAGCAAAAGATGATCAGTGGAAAGCACTGAGTGTCAAATATATGTCAAGATTTACTTATCTATTTATCAACTTCCTTATTTAGTTTTTGTTTTCTTGTGCTTTTTATTGAAGTGAATAGAAGTCTTTCATAGCTGCGTTCTCTACTCTCATTTTCCCTCAAGTTCCTATGTAGAAAAGAAGCTTTTGCTGCCATGAAGATTGCTAGTAACATAAGCCCCAAGGCTGAGGAAGGAGTACTGCACCATTCGTAGAAATGAAATATGAATGTATTTATGTAGAAATTTAGTGCTTTAAATTGAATACCTTTTTGGTTAAATTTGGTCTTGTGTTTGGCTTAGAAAAAGCTCGAACAGCTGCTCCTGAAGTACCCTCCAGAGGGGGTAGAGTCTCGGCGCTGGCAGAAGATTGCAGACGAGCTGGGCAATAGGACCGCGAGACAGGTAACGGGGCAGGGCCTCAGAGGCGGCCTGGCTGGATGGGCTCACGGGGTGGGACGGCTGCGGCACCATTTCCAGCTGTACAGTGCTGGAGTGGTGCTTTTAAGAAAATTGTTAGCATTCTGTATTTTTATGTTGCTTTCAGAAACAGCTTGAGTTAATCCTGTTTTGGATCATTGCAAAATATTAACAAAAATATAGTGGACTTACCGTGTGTTAAATGCTTAATAAATATTTATTTGCTTTCTGATTAGATTGTGCTAATAGGTTTGTGACATTGCTTCAGTATTCCCTGATTGTCTAAGACATTATTTACAAATTGAAAATATGTATTTAGCTTTGTAATCAAGCAAATTTAAATGTACTTACATTATTTTTTATTTAGGCTTAAAAATATATCTGATGACAGTTTAAGTTTATTTTTAGGTTCATGATGAATTTTAAATTATTACCATTAATTAGGTACACGTGTACGTTGTAGTTTTTTAAATTACTTGAGTATTGTGTGTCATCTCATTATGTTAAAAGGCTTGTCGCATTTCCCTAGGTTGCTAGCCGAGTACAGAAGTATTTCATAAAGCTAACTAAAGCTGGCATCCCGGTTCCGGGCAGAACACCAAACCTGTATATATATTCCAAAAAGGTAAAAAGAAAATAGATGAAAGCAAGCCTTAGATTAAATTCATTAAAGTCAGAATTTTTATGTAAAAATGTGCATGTTTGTCAGTATAGAGTTATTTGGTTTTTATTGTTTTTTGTGGGGTTTTTTTTGGTACCGGGGATCGAACTCGGATCCTTGTTGCTTGCGCAGCAGGCGGCGAAACCACTGAGCTAAATCCCCGGCCCTAGTTTTTAAAATTCTGTTCATGGTAATCATTTCATTATGTTGGCCATAAATGCGGTATAGAATTCCATTATTGCTACTCAGAAAAATTCATTGAACTTTTTTTTTTTGGTACCGGGGATTGAACTCAGGACCTTGCACTTTCGAGGCAGTCAGTGGCACCACTGAGCTAAATCCCCGGCCCAAAATTCATTGAACTTTAATGATTCTGTATTATTTTCTTGGGAGTAATACGAATGAGTACTGCTTAAAAGATTTTATATTGGATTTATATTAGGCCTTTGTGAGGTCAAAGCTTTTAAGATTTTTGATTCTTTAAGAAGTACAATCTATTTTGTATTTTGCTACATAAGCCCCCAAACAGAAATGCTTGTGAAGGTATTTTAGGGTCTTCTCTGCAAGGCTGAAAGTGTGAATGGTGTTACCACCTTCACGTTGCTAATGGGAAGAGAATAGGCAGCTAGTGTCCTACTACTGAGTGCTCCGGGTCAGGTACTGCCCCTAGAAAGAGGACTGGGCTGAAAGTCCATTCAGGAAATTGTCCAGCAGCATGGCCGTTCAGGCTGAGGACACTCATGCTCTCAGTCTGTCTGATACCAAGCATTTCCGCCAATCTGTGTTGCTTTATACACTGAAAAGGCTGCTGTCTGTTTTTATACAGAACCCTGCATTAAACTGTAGCCTGGTTTTATTGTAACTGGAAACAGTAAAGGCACCTAATTGACTTTCTTTAATTGTTCTGATCATTTAATCCTCTCCCCACCACTCTTTCACATAAAACTAAGAGATATGAAAGCCAATACTGTATATATAATATTGTTGCTTTTCCTAATGGGAGCGATTTTATGTAATTTTACATTAAGAAATTGCCTACATAGCTTCATGGTTTGCAAGTTAAGTTGTTTTACCAAGCTTTTGAGACTTGTTTCACTTTGCCTGTTGTTTTGAGTATTTTGGATTTACTCCCTCCTGCCCCAAAACATCTTTTACCTTTAGATATGTAGAGTTCATCCTGTGACTTTGGAGTGTTGGAACCTTGATAACCAGTGGTCAACTTAATGGCTCTAATTTTCTTGATTAGTTTCTAAGCTGACATTATAGATGTGTTGTTTTCACAGTTAAGATTGGATGATGGTAACAGAAGGGATACTGGAGGAACCTAAATATATTCCTTCCTTTGGGTGTCCTGTGTTTTCAGTTAACAGACATTTTGGATATGACCATCTAGTATAGCCCTAGTCCCATTGATTCCTTGTCATGGTCAAAGTTTAAATTTTGAGTCGGGTGTGGTGGGCACAGGCCTATAACCCCAGCACTTGGGAGGCTGAGGCAGGAGGATTGCTGCAAGTTGGAGACCAGTTTGGGCTATATAGTGAGTTCAGGGCCAGCCTGAACTCCGAAATGAGACCTTGTCTCAAAAAACAAAAAGTTGTGAAATAGAATGATGGTTTTCCACCATGTAAGTGAGGTTATGTTTTGCTTCTGTGCTATTCAGTGTTCTGCGTAGTGGTGGAGAGTGAGGGCTTTGCACCACAGGAGCCTACTTTGGAATCCGGCTTCCACCACTCTCTCCCTGCAGCACACTGAACAGGAAACTCAGTGTCCATTCTTCACCTTTATGTTAGAGGTGATAACTGCTTTACATGAATGTTGTGAGGACTGAGTGACACTGACTAGGATATGCAATTAGTTGGTGTGGTAATTATTTTCAGACATCCACCATATTATGGAAACTTTCCTTTTATTCTGGAAAAAATGAGCGTTAGGTAATCATTTTCAGACCTAGTAAGGAAACTTGGCTTTTACTCTGGGTAGTTGCACATCTGGCTCCCCGATCTTCAATAAAATGGTCATAAGAGGAGGTTGATGCAGCCAGCATTGGAATACAGATACGATAAACGCTGGCATAGGAGGACAAGCTGTAGGCCGAGGGTGCAGCACATTGTGTTGCTCTTCGGGTGTTTCTCGTGCATTTCCAGTGTGTTGGGAGTTTTGTGTTTTTTACTTATTTTAAAATATTTTTTTTTACGGAACTGGGGATCGAGCTCAGGACCTTGCGCTTGCCAGGCAGGCGCTGGTGCCACTGATCTAAACCTCCGGTCCTGTTTTGTTTTTTAGAGGTTAAAAGACCAGAAAACGTGGGAAAAGCAATGCTGTACTAAAGGACAGAAGCGAAAAAGTCTAAAACGCTTCTGCTAGGCTTGCTGGAAGTAACATTTATATTTTCATATTCTTCCACTTTGTAATGATTTCCTTTTAATGTCACAATTACAAATTTGTTTTCTCACGTAGTCTTCAACAAGCAGACGACAGCACCCCCTTAATAAGCATCTCTTTAAACCTTCCACTTTCATGACTTCGCATGAACCGCCAGTGTACATGGACGAGGACGACGACCGGTCGTGCTTCCACAGCCGCAGGGGCGCTCCGGCCGAGGAGGCATCGGTGAGCTCTGTTCTTTCACGCTTTGGTTTCCACGCGGGTAGGGCACAGCTTGAGAGCGCCAGGGATTGCTCATCATTCCTGCTCTTCAGAGCCTTCTGGTTTCGTCTCTTAACTAACTAGTCAGATTTAAAGGGGTTTTTTTAATGTGCTTTAAAATTTTTTTTTCTTTGGTACCGGGAATCAAACTTGGGACCTTGCGCTTGCGAGGCAGGCGCCGGAACCGCTGAGCTAAATCCCCGGCCCTAAAATTTTTTTATAAAGAGGATCTCAACATGTAGGTAGGTAGGGAGAAAAGAGTATAATGAACCCTCATGTGCTCACCACTCAACTTCAGCAGTTCCTTCCCGGTTCGATCTGGTTTTTGTGGCTCTCTACCCTAGGTTATTTTGGAGCAAGTCCCACATACCACACAATTATGTTTATAAAAAGGTAATTCTTTATAAAATGAAGTATATGGTCAATTTCATATTTTCCCAGTCATCTCAAGATTTTTTTTTTCAATTTGCTTGTTTCTGGAGCCACATGGAGCCAATATATCACAAAGAGTTTGTTTTCTCTCTTGTTTTATTTTTTCTTTTGCTCACATTTTTTAATTTGCGAATGGATGAAATGGATTACTTGTCCTGTGGCGTCTACCACAGTCTGGATTTTGTTGATTGTGTGTCTTCTCTGCCACTTGACCTGTTCCTGTGTCCCCTGAATTTCTTGTGGATTTCCCAGCAGGTCTGCAGGATCAGTCATTATCGATCAGGATTGGTCAGGATGGATCAGGTGACAGTTTGGGTAGGCAGGACCATTTTATGTGCACTCTCATCAATGTGGTTGTGGCTTTTATTGCCTAGATCCATGAATGTTTGGATGTGACAAAATAATGATACTCTTTTATTTTTTTTTTTTCATTTATTTTTGAAATATTCTATAAAGTAAATCCTCTCACCAGCTATTCCTGGTTATACTAACGTAATATGTATAGAAAAGGCAGGATGTGTTTCAGTGCATTGGTGTTATTTTCCTTTGCCTCTTTCATCTGCCGTAGTCTGTCCACATTGGCTTCTGAGACTCCAGAGGGTTTGATAGCTTCCTTAGAATCAGCTTAGACACGGACAGCTCAGGATCGTCCTGGATGTTTCCTACCTCCTACCTGCAGATCCTTTTGCTGGGAAATGGTATCTGAGATGATATCCTGCTGCTAGAAATATTACTTGCTGCTCAGTTGGTTACTGTTTCTAGGCCTATTTAGTAAACAGAGCTAGTTTTTTTTAAGGATCGAGAAACATAATTATAAATTTATTTCAAACTCACCTTAAGAAATACAGGCCTTTTCCTTACCTTTGTTGATTGTAAATATGCATCGTGTGTCTCCCACACTGAAGATTCCAATTCTCAACACCAGCAGCACTGAGCTCTCCCTGTCCCTTGCTCACACTCCACCACCATCAGCAGGGTGCTTACTGAAACACAGTGTTCCTCAGGGCTTTGTTTCACTTTAGGATATGTCCATATCAAAGTAAAGTCAAATTAGTTTTTAAATCCACATAATTCCTCTCAGTTTTGACACCAGTGGAATGCTAACTTGGCTAAATTCATTTCATTTTACTTTCCATTCATAAGGACTCTTTTTTGTTGTATTAATCCTATCTATTATTTTGCTGTTCCTGAAACTCAGTTTCTCAATTTGATGCATTAAAGGACATAAAGATTATCATATATCTTTCTTAATCCTCTATTGGTACAGGAGGTTTTAATAAAAAGTCAGCAAATAAAAGTAAACTCTTTGGTTCCATTTTGGAGATTAATCATATATTAACTGTATTCATAAAATGCTTTTCCTTTTAAACTTTTCTTTTGAAAAAATAGCTAATATCTGCTGTGTCTTTTGATGTGGCCAGTTTGTATAATTGTTTGCTTTCTGGTTATTAGAATTATTTACTTGAAATATTTATCTAAACTTGCTATATATCAGTCCTGCTAGGGATCTCATATGCAGTCATGACCAAAATATTATGATCTTTGTGCTTATAAATCTTAGTCTTATGGGAAAGGATACTGTGTAGTCACATCACTAAGTTTAAAACATTTTTAAAGTGCTTCAGAGGGAAAATAGGTGCTGTCATAGTTATTTAGAAATACCAGGAAAATTGTAAATTTGAGCCCAGCTGGGGCAACTTGCCAACTTAGTGAGACACTGTCTCCAAATAAAAAAAGGGCTGTGAATAAAGCTCAGTGTCAAGGCTGAGGGTTCAATCCCCAGGCCCAGCCGAGGGGAGTGGGAGAGGTGCCTCCCTTAGGATTGGGGTTTAGGCAAAGGGCCTGGGGGAGCGGCTCTTGGGGGTGATCAGAAGTCGCCAGATAAGAGGTGGTGCCTCATTTCAGTGAAGTCCCGTTTGTCAAGACTGACATATTAACAGATTAACTTAAGTTTAACTTTTTGTTATTATTTATTTTTTAATTAACACCAGTTCAAATAATTCTGGTTCCTTAAAACAGCTATTTAAGATGTTTCTTTATGCTGGGGTTATAGCCCGGGGTGGAGTGCTTGCCTAGCCTGCCTGAGGCCCTGGGTTCAATCCCGGGACCATTAGAAAATACATTTATGAGGCTTCCAGTGGTCAAATTTATAAATTTAAGCAGCAGCTGGAGCTGGACATGGTGGCAACTCCTGTAATCCCACCACTTGGAAGGCTGAGGCAGGAAGACTACTGAGAGTTCAAGGCCAGCCTGAACTACATAGTGAGACCCTGTCTCAAAAAATACATAAACAGCAGCTATAGAGATTGCATGTATATAATTTATTCCTTACACTGCTTTAGCCCTAATAGAAATTCTATTTAAGCAAATTTAAAATTTTATAGCCAGGAAATCTATTTATGAGTAAGTGAGGTTTAAATTTTTAAAAATGTGGTAAGTATACATAACATAAAATTTACCATCTTGGCTACTTCTGAGTATAAGTTCAGTAGTGTTAAGTGTGTTCACATTATTGTAAACCAGTCTCTGGAGTTCTCTTCATCTCACTAAGCTGAAACTTTGTACCTGTCATGGCTTGTGCCTGGATGCTCCCTCAAAGCCTCATGCGGTCATAGGTGGGGCTTTTCAGTGTGTCTGGATCTACACTGTGAGATGCTGAGATCAAGGGTGTGTGATTACTAAATCAGTCCACTGATTGGTTTGGCATAGTTCTGGGTGTGGACAATAGGAAGGCTCACCCTGGGTGTGAGTGCTACCTGCCCTAAGGGCATGTAGCCTAGATATTATATAAGGGACAGAAAGAAGGCTGCTGTTGCTGCTTGTCACTTGCTGCTTTGCTGCTTTGCTACTTTGCTGCTTTGCTGCCTCCTGCCCACCATGAACTGTTTCTCCTCTGTGATCCCCCTCTGCCATGCTATCCTGCGTTGGTGCCTGCCTTTAACTTTGGATATTGGGTATTTTGTCTCAGCAACGAGAAAAGTAACTAAGACAGTACCAATTAGATGGTAGCTGCTCCTCCCCTCCTCCTCACAGCTCCTGGCTGCCGCCAATCCATGCCTGAGAATTTGATTTCTCTGGGTTCCTCACAGACCAGAGGCACACAGGGTCTGCAGGCCATGTGTCCACTCCATGTGCTTGTGTATACACACTCAGCCCTGAATTGAGGCTGTTGGGGAAGCGATTATTCTGTGTTGAACAGGTACAGTCAGACTTACTTTTCTTGTCATGGCTCCTCAAGCCATGCAGTGCACCAACTATTCACAGAGCATTTGCGTGATAGGAGGTCCTGTAAGTAAGCTGGACGAGACAGAGTATACCGGGGGATTAAAGGAAGACTCTGCACCAGTGTGTGTAAGGGACCTGAGCAGCCTTGGCATTTGGTGTATTCAGGCCCTGGAACTGACTCCTGGAGGACACTGAGGGACACAATCAAGCTTTGTCCTTTGCTGAGCTTTACTGAGCATGATGTCCTCAGGGTCCATCTGTTTTGCAGCATGTATCACACACACACACACACCCCATTGTAGTGACCGAGGTGCTGAGGTGCTGAGGATGGAACTGGAAGCCTCGTGCATAGGAAACAAATGCTCTACTATTGAGCTACACCCCCAGTGCCCTTTCCTTTTGAAGGCTAAATAATATTCCATTGTGTGTATATATCACCCCTTGAAAATTCATTCATTTGTTGATGGATACTTAGGTTGTATCTGTCTTTTGGCTATCATGAGTCCTGCTGCTGTGAACACGGGTATATGGGTACATTTTGAGTCCCCACTTTCAGGTTTTTGGGGTATACACCTGGAAATGGAATTGCTGGGTCATATTGTAATTGTGTTCCAACTCTTTGAGGAACCACTATAATACCATTTTACATTATTACAACATTTGTTATTTTCTGTTTCTTTTTTTTATAGTGGTCATCCTACTGGCTGTGAGTTGATTTATCTTTCCTTAATCTTAAAGTTGCTGAGCAAATTTTCTGATATCCTTAGACTTAAAATGCAAGTTAAAAATGTAATATTTGTTCTCTTTGCATCTGCTTTAAATACCTGAATGGAGTAAATTTCATTATAAAATTTCTCTCCACATTATTTGAGCCACATTGTATTTATGCGCATACATCAGTACTTTTGTTGTCTCTCAGTGCTGAGCCAGGGAGGTGATGACTATCATTGAACAACTTCCTTTGGGACGTTGAAGTGAAGGAAAGGTAGGAGAGAGGTGCAGGAGTCTCCTGCTCTGCAGACCCTGCTGTCCTGAGCACTTCGGGTCAGTGGTGGGCAGACAGGAAGCCACGGGAGACTTAGCTGGTGAGGACAGAGGTGGAGGAGTGGAGGCGAGAGGACTGACTGGGAAACATTTTAGAAAGTATTAGGTAACAACAGAATTCTTTTCGATTAGCTCTACGATAAAAGAGAGAATGAAAAATTAAGAGTAATTTAAATTTCTGTCTTGAGCTGCTGAGTATGACGGGCAAATGTGGCTTCAAATACCCAACTCTGCAATTAATTATATGACCTTGGGCAAGTGCTACAATTTCTATGAGTCAGTTTCCTTACTGGCAAACAAGCATAGTAGTTAAAATAGCTGACATAGAGGAGGGAGAGGTAGGAGTTGTCTCATCCCACTGGGACTTGGTGGAACCTGCGGTCAGCGTGCACTCATAGGGGAGCAGTGGACCTGTCATGAGGTAGCAAAAGAAGGAAACAGATCCTGAGGATGGGGTGTGGGTAAACTGGGCCAAGAGGAAATGGAAGAGTGATTAAAAATTTCAGTGAGGTTTAAAATAAAATTAGGCCAGGGATTTAATTTAGCTCAGTGGTTTTAGCGCCTGCCTTGCAAGCGTAAGGTCCCAAGTTTGATTCCCGGTACCAAAAAAACCTAAAATTATTTGGAGTAAGAGCTTGAGAGAAGTGGAAAGTGACATTTTAGGTGAGAGATCTAAATTTAATATTTTGTTTGTTTGGTTTTTTGTTTTTGTTTTTGGTACCGGGGATCGAACTCAGGTCCTTGCGCTTGCACAGCAGGTGGGGAAACCACTGAGCTAAATCCCCGGCCCTAAATTTAATATTTTGGAGGCAAAACATATCTGGTTGAAGGCCAGGTCCAGCAGTGTGGCTCTCAAGGTAGGAGACAGAGGAATGGAGGTCCATGGAAACTGTCTGAGGAGAGAGGCTGGACATAGGAACTGTGTACTGGTGAGGATCTTGAAGTTGCCCCATATAATGAGCAATGTGCTCAGTAATTTTGAGAAGACAGCTTTTTTTTTTTTGGTACTAAGGATTGAACTCAGGACCTTGTGCTTGTGAGTCAGGCAGCGGAACCACTGAGCTAAATCCCTGGCCCATAGACAGCTTTTGTATGTATGCACTTTTGATTGTAAAGTTGCTGGTCAGTTTGGGGGTTTGAGTGGTGTTTCTGAACACACTAGAGGCATTGAAAAATATATGGTGTGTGTTTCAATTTTAAAAATGTATTATAGTTAAAAAGCACATTGCCATTAATCCCACTCAGAATATGCCCTCTGTCTTTGAACACATTTATCCCATTGTTCTCACCACTTTCTGAAGCACTTCTGGAAGTCCTTTTTCATGAATACCTTTACAAAGTGTAATAAAAAATATAGTGAGTGCTGCTGCTGATTGTCATCCAGTGGAAAGGTGGGCTCGTAAAACATCACAGTGGGTCCTCATCCACTTTATTCTCTGAATCTGGCAACCTGCAACTTCTGATTCTTCCCCAAAGTCAAAATGACCAAGAATGGTAAATGTTTTTTGAGTCGGTTTCAGTACATTTAAGCAGCCACGCCAGCTCAGCTAAAGACACTTGAAAGAGTATGTCCAGAACTACTTCAGAAAGTGGCCGAATGATGGGCTAAGTGTGCTCAGAAGTGAAGGGGAATATTTTGAGAGGGTTAGTGATAGTGTCTTGTACTGTGTAATTTTTATTTTTTTTTAACATTCACTATATGCCAATCATATGTTGTATGTACCTGAAGGTTTGGTGTGATAAATAGTCTTTATACCTTATAGATCAGTTTTTACGGTATCTGCGACTTAATGTACATAGTTTATAGTCTGTTCTATATAGTCATTGTAACTCAGTTTGTCCCCGTTTTCAGTAAGAGCATTGGGAGTACAGAGCAGAAAGCAAGAGCAGAGGTTGCTTGCTTGTTCTTAAGGCAGTGTCCTGTGTACAGGAGCAAGTGTAAACATCTATAAGCCTGGGTAAGAGGAACTGCCTGCAGGCCAAGGAGGGGAGATGATAGGGAGTCTGTGCAGTAACCATGGCTGTCCAGAGACAGGGCAGGATGTGCGGCTTCGCACTTTGTACCCGGGGGTCTGCATTGTGAAGCCTACAGTACAGGTCAGCATTGCTGTTGCATTAAAAAGTTCTCCCAAGTATTAGTGTAAGATATTGCTAATAGTGGCACTAATTTTCCATGAGTTTCCAAGGTGAGATATATTTTGAGTGAAAATATCTTGTCAGTAGAAGAGTAACCTGTATCAGTGTTTCTTGCACTTAGCTAATTTAATGCCGAACTAACATTTTTGTGCTGTATTGTGTTCTTTTCAATAGGATGAAGAAATTATTCCAATCATGTATAGGAATTTACCTGAATATAAAGAACTATTACAATTTAAAAAGTTAAAGAAGCAGAAACTTCAGCAAATGCAAGCTGAAAGTGGATTTGTACAGCACCTGGGCTTCAAGGTACATTTGGCTTAATCTTACACAGCATTTCATTGTTGACAGATGAAAAGAGGTACTGGAAGCAGTATGTGGAATGAGAAACCCTAAAAACCTATAAGGGTACAAGGACAAGTGTGTCCTGTCTGCTTCATGTATACAAAGTAGTGGGCCACACTTCTGATGGGACAAGGTTTGTGATGCAGTGTAGAGAAGACGGCATGCAGGTGCCTGGAATTTAGCTTTCTCTCCATGGACTAGATATGCCCATCTGTCCTGCTGTGTAGGTGGAGTTTTCTCAGCTGTCTTTCTGAGAGGCTAACAGAATTCACCCAACCACTGCACAGCATCTGAAAGGACCCATTATGCTCATGACCTGGGAGGAAACAGGATGGGCTTGGTCCCTGCCTGGCCACTGTCCCACTCTCGAAAGGAATTTAGAGACTCTGAGCAAATAAAATAGTGGAGTGCCACTAAGCGCGCAGACTGGAGAGCAGCAGAGGCTTTGGGGAAATTTTGTCCAAAAGTTCAAAGCATCCAAAGAGGTTAGGGATCCATTGAATGATTTTAAGCAGATAGTATACGAAATTTGTATTTCAGAAGGAATGCCCGACAGCCACAACTTAGAGGAGGAGAGGTCTCTTTTGACCCATAGTTCGTAGAGGTTTCAGTCCACAGCCGGCTGGCTCCAAGGCAGGGTGGCCTGGCAGAGAGAGGAGAGAGCTCATGGCGTGGTGGTGAAGCAGAAGCAGAGCGGGATCTAGGGGGGTAGAGATGGACCCTTCCGGGCTACACCCTCTGGGCCCACCTCCTCCAGCGTCATACCTGGCTGTGAACTCATCAGTGGACGGGTCCCTGGTGTATCACGCCCCACGATCCAGTCACCTCCCCAAAGCCCGCCTGCGAGCACACGAGGCTTTAGGAGGACGTTAGATGGGAACCATGACAGTGGGTTTCAAGCGGAGTGGCTCCTCAGTCACTGGCTACTGGTAAATTTTGTAAAATAGTATTCATGTATTATATATATATATAATATATATATTATATGCAATATATATTATATATTTTATAATATATATAAAGGGAGGCAAAAAAAAAGGACTAAATTAGAGGAGGGCAAGGCTGGAAGGAGGAGTCAGAGATGAGGGTGTCCTGAGTTTGTCTGGTGGCTGTGGACACAGACAGATTGACAGGTTTGAGGAAAAGTTAGACATCAGAACTGTCTGTACTTGTTTGGATTGGCGGGTGTAATAGACTGTAAATGTGGCATTACAGATTTTTCGGTGGTTTATGTAAAAGTATTGCTGTATGCTGTGACTGTTCCAGTGAATTGCAAACAAAATTTTACTTCTGATCTTGATTTTTGGGCGTAGCATTGGCCATACTTCATTAGATGATTTTCCCGCCTGATCTGTCAGCATCCTTACCAGTCCATTGGAGATTTTCCCAACCAGCAGCTCTGGCCTTCGAGAGGAAACTTGCTCCTCCTCATAATTTTGTTACAGGACCCAGCCGTGGTTTGTTGGCCAGTCCGTCAGCCACTCTGGTTGGCTTGATGACCGAAGACTCTAGACAGGGATGCAAGTTGATTCCCAGAATTCCACAGAACATGCAGGAGGCTGTCAGTGCCACCACATGGGGACAGAGCTGCATCTGCCTTTTGTCAGATGTGCTGGGTTACTAGGAGCCTTTAGCTTTGGAGAGTGACTCAGTAAGGTAGGAGTATTGGAGGGTGCTGTAGTTGTCCGTGTTTGTGTCAGTGACTCCTCAGAACAGTTCTGTGTGCATTCGGACAGTTTTAACCATGGAATGAGTCAGTGTACACAATTGTCATACACTCCTTAGGTACTTTTCAAGTAAATGGTTGCTAATAACAAAATGCTCAAATTTGAGATGATTTACTTAAAAACGTCTTAAGTAAATTAGAGCGCATTAAAGATTATTCCTTATAATGCTCCTCCCCCACCTGAATCTTGGTCTCGAGGGATGGCCCTTCATCTGCTTGGCTAGAGTTTATGCCCAGTTCACAGCGCTTTTTGTGGCGCAGCTGTCGGTGTGAGGGCAGACTGTCTGCTTGTCATGCTTCCCAGCAGACAGTGGAGTAGAGAAGCTTGTGAAGTGCCACGGCCTGATGCTTTTCTCTTGGAATCTATTGCAGTGTGATAACTGTGGCGTGGAACCTATCCAGGGTGTTCGGTGGCACTGCCAGGATTGTCCCCCAGAGATGTCTTTGGATTTCTGTGATTCTTGTTCGGACTGGTAAGTGTTTTCTGCATTGTGGTCTTGAAATTTGACTGGGGTTTGAGCTCAGGGATGCTGTACCTGCCTGGCAAGTGCAAGGTCCTGAGTTTGATCCCCGGTACCAAAAACAAAAACTTGACAAGGACAGAGCTTCTCAGCCAGTGAACTTGATCTCCAAACTTCTTTAAAAAGTAGCCACCCTGGAGCTGGGGATTTAGCTAAGTGGTTCCGCCGCCTGCTGTGCAAGCTCAAGGACTCGAGTTTGATCCCCAGTACCAAAAAAAAAAAAAAAAGTAGCCACCCTTTGGGAATTCAGTTTTGTTCTAAGTGAGTAGAAAGTTTTTTCTTTCATGGCGTATCTCTGGTAGCTTTCCATGAAAGATTTGGATGGATTAATACATTCAACAGGTTCAGCTGTGAGAAGGTTTTGTAAGGTGCAGACCACATGCATTCAGTGCCATGTAATGAGTTTGTGTGCCTTGTTTCTTTCTCTGCAGCCTACATGAAACAGATATTCATAAGGAAGATCACCAACTAGAGCCTGTTTATAGGTCAGAGACATTCTTAGACAGAGACTACTGCGTGTCCCAGGGCACCAGTTATAATTACCTGGACCCAAACTACTTTCCAGCAAATAGATGACATGGCAGAGCGAGCGCATCCCTCATGAATCCTCTTCGACACATAGCAATGGTGTCATTGTTGGTGATGTGCACAGTTCGGAAAGGTCCTCTGCTTTCCCTGAATGACACTCACAGCATGAGTGCTTCCCGAGTGTTCTCGTCCAGCCCAACTCTGCACCGTGTGGCTCTCGATCCCTGTTCAGCAGCCAAGCATCCTGGTGAGCAGAGGGTTTCCTGGTGAATCTCCTTGCCGCCTTGAAGCCTGGAGATGGCGATCTTAGTGGGTGAGATGGACGAGAGAGCACATATTCACGCGAGAGTAAATCCCAAAGGTTTCAGAGAACTTGGTCATAAATACGATAACAAGAAGGCAAAGTATTTATATTCAAACACTTTAGTAGCTTTCAGTTTTGTGAAAATAGTTTTCAGCACAGAAACTGACTTCTTTAGACAAAGTTTTAACCAATGATGGTGTTTGCTTCTAGGATCTATACTCTAAAAGAACTCACTGTCCAGTGCTGGTCCTTGATGGCCTTTAGTAAGTCGGAGCTGCTTAACCATATTGATACCTAATTTCTTTTAACCACAACGAACTGTCCTTGTTACCAACAGCAAAGCACTACAGGAGGCAACTGTGGCATTGCTTCTTAACCAGCTCATGGTGTGTGAATGTTATAAAATTGTCACTCAGATATATTTTTAAATGTAATGTTCTATAAGATGATCATGTGATGTGTACAAACTATGGTGAAAAGTGCCAGTGGTAGTAACTGTGTAAAGTCTCTAATTCACAACATTATTAATTCCTTTAAAATACACAGACTTCTGCCTCTGTATTTGGAGTTGTCCGTACAACTCATCAAAGAAAACTGCCTAATATAAAAATCATATATAATGGTAATAATTTCCCTCTTTTGTAGTCTGAACAAGATCCATAAAAGATTGTATTTTTATTACTATTTAAACAAGTGATTAAATTTAGTCTGCGCAGTGAGCAAGAGTTCACATGCATTCTTTTATACTGCTGGATTTTGTTGTGCATCATTTAAAACATTTTGTATGTTTCTTCTTATCTGTGTATACAGTATGTTCTTGAATAATGTTCCTTTGTCAGGAGAACTGTGAGAAATAAACTATGTGGATACTGTCTGTTTATATTATAGATGCTTGTTGTGACTTCCTTTGGTTAGATTTGGATTTTTTTTAACCAGTGTTAGTACCAGGAATTGTTTCTTTTAAGGGTTTGCTTTACCTGTATGAGGGTTTTCTTTCCGCCCCTTATAAAGAGTAAAGACTATAGTATGGAAGAGAGCGAGCCTGAGAAGATCTGTAAATGACAGTAGTTCATGTTCTCCACAGCGTATGCCGAAACCCTAATCAGACTACCTTGCAAAGCGGGAGCCTGGGCCCTGCTTAAGGAAAAGGGCAGTTCTTAATGCCAAGAGGTGAGCGCCCAAGTTGGAGACTTTTATTCTAGTTGTTGTTGATGAAAATAAGTCCCCATGTATTTAAACAAGTGGTCTCCTGGAAATTATTACTGACTAGGGTAGGATGGTATAAATATTCTAAGATGGATTAGGTACTGTATTATACCTGATCCAATTAGTTTTTTTCCTGTTTTTAAATCTAGGGAACATTATTTACTAGTTCTCTTTAACACATAGCAGGGCATAAAGTCTACCCTGACTTTTTTAAAATAAGAAAAGTAATAGAATTTTAAATATAGAAATATGAGAATTTTAAAGTAATATATGGATTACAGATCTCTAAAGATGTTGATACGATATATCATAATCAGGAAGAAAAGTAAGTGTACTTCTCACCCTGGAGTTGTAGTGGGGGGAAGGGAGGAGTCGTTAGCATTCTAGCCATTTTGATATTAAATATTTGGTGTGTATACGCCAGAAGACCTGCCTTCAGCCTGTAACCAGGCAGGGCAGTAGCACTTGATAGTAACTTCTTGTGACTCCTGTGTTTCTATAGAAATAATACCAGTTAGTTTTTGGAGAACCATTCAGAGCCACTCGGAAATCCCATAAAGTATGAAGTATACTTTGGAAGAGGGCTGTGAGTGAGACAGTTGTTATGAACAGAAGTGACACAATAAATCCTTGAGTGCATTTTTCAAGGGCAGATATTTTAAGACTTGTAGATGATAAAGAGAATTATTTTCTGCTGGAACAGAAGGTGTGTTTATGTTGAACTTTTCAGCTCTAAGCAAATAGTCGCCATGGCATTAAAAGGCCTACAGGTGGTGGTAGCAGCAGCAATGGTGTTGTGTTGTGTGTCTGAGTTGAGAATGGCAGGAGTGGCCCAGGCCGCATTTGCCAGCAGGCCATCCATCCGTGGGCCAAGTGTGGGCTTCAAGAGACAGCAGCTTCGAGAGATGTATTTGTCAGGCATTGCTTACTAAGTGGTTTCAGTAGTCAGAGCTACTGGTATATTATGCTCAGTTTATTTGCTAATAACCGAAGAAACTTTTGATGACACCTCAAACCACTGCTGTAAGGTTTAGGCAGAGAAGGTTTCCTTTGGTGAGATGGACCAAATATGGCGCCAGGAGAGCACATAGTAACTGAATTCTCCACAGCCCACGGAGGCAGTTCTACTTAACTACCTTGTTTTCCCGTGAGGAAGTAGAGCCAGAGAGAGGCTGGAGAACTTGCCCACAGCCGTAGTTTGTACAGTGGTGATGCCCGGCCTTCACCTGGGCAGACCCAGAGATGGTGTCTGCCTCCCCCGGCTTCCCGAGCAGAAGCCCCCATGGTGCCGGGCGTTGCTGAGGTGGAAGTGTGCAGGCCTTGCTTTTTGCTGTCCTTTTTCCTGGTGGGGCCTGGTTGCTCAGTACAGACCCGATCCTGTGTCCAGGTTTGGTGCATGGGTTACAGAACCTGCGTGTGGATGGGGGAGAGCTCTGAAATGCTTGTGAATCAGCAAGACACCTGCATGCCAGCCTCTTCCCCCTCAGCCTGAGTGTACACCTTGACCATACTTGTCCCCTTCCCCTTAAACCACAGAACACAATTTACTAAGGTATGAGGAACATTTTTTTAAAAATGAGAGAGAAAATAGTACTGTAGCAAAGGTGACTATTGTTTTGTGAAATCTGGTTTTTCAGTTGTAAATGTATGTGTGGCATCCTATGTTAACTGTATTTCTTACTGTGGGTACCCGAGTTTGGAATCCATTATTCTAGGTCCCCTGGATGAAATGGTGGGGTCTCGTGATTCCAAGTGGCTTTTCCCACAAGATTATGGAGGCACTGTCCTTTTGGGGCTGCAACATGTTTTTATTTCTTATGTTGATTAAAAAAAAAATGTACTGCTCTTCATGAGATCCCAGTAAAAGCCAGAACTTTTTTTTTGGTAATGGGGATCAAACTCGGGTCCTTGAGCTTTCGAGGCAGGCGGCGAAATCCCTGGCCCCTAAAACTTTTTTTTTTTTTTGCCTCAGTTTTTGTAGCTGAGGATCTGTGTCACGTAGAGCTATGTGAAGACCAAGACCACGTCTCTCTGGCTCGGCCTGGCTTTTTGTAGATTCTCCATAAATATTTGTCAGTTGTCTGACCAATGTTTAGTGAGTTCCAGTTTCTTCTCTCGCCTGTGCCTGCGTGTGTGTGAAGCATGTAGGGCTGGCTGGGAGACCCCTTCCCAGAAGTTGCATCCAACCTTATCATGGAGGATGTGATTAACCCTGGGCAGCTGAAGGTTTTAGTCCAGTGTGGGACCCGAGCCAGGCCTTGTGTCTCCATTTTAGTGACATAGTGGCAAGGACTCCGGAGTGGAGATTGTGGGGCCCTACTTGCAGCTGAGGAAGTGAAGTACTCATTAAAGGGCGACAGAGCCACCTTTCCTTGAGCTCTGGGAAGCACAGGTGGTTTCCTTGCACTGCTAACTTCTCATCTCCACAGCTGCTGTGAAGTTAGGGACTCTTGGGATTTCTTTTGTACAGAAGGAAAAACAAGGTACAGAGGGTTCCGTTAGCTTTCAGTACCAACTGGTGTGTGGGGGCCGGAGATAACAAAGCGGTGCCCTCTTGGAGCTCACAAACCAGTGGAGAAGACGGGCAATAAGTAAGTCAGTTTTTAACACATTGCTTCATTTTAGGCAGAGGTAATTGCTGTGAGGAAAAAGAATGCTTGAAGAAGAATGGGAGAGGGGCAAACACCGCCATTTTGGATGGAATAATCAGAGAAAGCCCTGATGACAAGGGTCACTTAGAAATCAGACCTGAGTGGAGGGAGTCTGATGTAGGAAGAGGCAGGAGAATGCCCACTGAAAGGACCCTGAGTGGTTTGTGGTTCTCTGAGGTAACATTACTACTGCCAGTGTGGCCAGGGACGCATGACCTGGACAGCAGGGGTGACCAGCCAGAGAGGGGAAGCCATTTGGTTTGTGTGCTAGGGTCCCCCGCACACACACGTGGCCTTTTACTAGGCAGAGGTCCTTTCTTGTGTAAAATCTCCTGTCACTTAAAAAGTTGTGGTGTCATTCCGGGCCATTCAAGTCACTGATGTGAAGCCGGTGTCCTGCACAGACTCGCTGTGTCTCCTCCTCCACACGCCGTGCTCCGGCCGGCTGTGTCAGTGTCTTAATCCCCAGACCGCGTCTGTCCTAATGCCTGCTTTTCCCTTGTCAGATGCTCCCGGGTCCCCAGAAAGGGCGTGAGCACCAGGGTGGAGGGCAGCATGTGACAGCTGTGTGCTGCGTGGGAACGGGCCATGCCCTTGCTGTTCACAGAGGCATAACTGTAACCAAAGAAATTTAATTTCTTCCCTAGGGAACACTGACATTTCTGTTTAAGAACGAATGCTAGAGAAAAAGAAAAATACAAAAATGACCATGTATCATGAACACATTAAGAATTCTCTGTGTAATAGTTCAAATCTGGTCTATGGCCAAAATTAAAACCATATTAATGGATCATAACTCTCAACTATTACTGTGTTTGCTTCTAATTCTGTTTGGAATAAGGCTTCAAATGCTTTTCAGAATGATGTGTTACAAATAAATAGAAAAAGAGTCATCCTGTCTTCCATTTATTTTATTTGTACATATCCATTTCGAGAGAAAAAAAGACTTTAAAAATACAATTCTGTCCTGGAAATGGGTCCTTATTTGCACACTGATTGGAGGGGGGAAAAAATCATGCAAACTGAAACCATGGTCTTCTGTAGTGGCTAAGTGGAAGATGCGGCTGTTTCAGTAGGACACAGAAGCTCTGATTTCACAACTGCTAGCACAAAAGAGAACCAGACTGCACCGGTTGCTGCAAGGCTTGCGACCCTGGGAAAGGGCAGGCTGAGACAAATACAACACTGGCATCTGCAACCACCTGTGTGCTAGTACGCCCCTCCCACCCTCACCTGCGTGTTACCGTGCCTCTGTTTACCTGCTTGGCAACGAGTGAATGGGTGGTCATTTTAAAATGATAGGATGGCATTTGTCCAGTGAACGAAATAAATCTTATGCTTTGAATTACTTGTGGTCACTGATGTTCATTTATAATCGTTGAAACGCACCCCCGGGTAGAGAGTGAGTCACACAATCGCTCCAACTCTTCCAGCCATGTCCAAGTCAGTATTCCCAGTAGCCCTTCCTGAAAACAGACAGCGAGTGTTGCCTGCCCAGCAGCCTATGTTTTGCCATCTTGGAGAAGCCGCGCAGTTTCCCACTGTGAGTTTCTTTCCGATGGGGCACTGCTCGAAGGCTCTGGGGGACCCAAGGCTCCGGGCGCGGTGGGGGCCGAGGCAGACCCACCGCCCAGGACCAGGCCACGCCCGCCGCAGGGCGGAGGGCGGCTGTGGGGTGGGGTGGTGGTGCTGCTGGGCCCCTCCCATGAGACGGAACCTATGACCAGACCGCGGCGAGAACCCGGCGCAGCACAGGCGAGAGGGGGCTACGGTCCTGGTCCCGATCCCGATCCCGTTGCAGCCCGAAGGCCCCGCCGCCCCCCACCCGAGCCCAATGGGAAGCAGACAGCGCCGGCGGGGCGGGGACACAAGATACTGAGACGTTAGTAAAGGGTGGACCCAGTAATACGTTCCTGTCTCCACTCTCCTCTACCTCCAAGCTCTCTTGTCTTCAGAAAATAGAGTCAATGGCCATGCAGAGTTGAAGAAAAACTTCTTCAGGCGTTCCCTCTGCATTTATCTATATTTAAAAGGAAAAAGAAAGTTAGTCTGTGTGTGTGTGTGTGTGTGTGTGTGTGTGTGTGTGTGTGTGTGTTTTGAGACAGGGTCTCACTATGCAGTAGTTCAGCTTGCCCTTGAACTATGTAGCCCAGGCTGGCCTCGAACTCATGGTGAGCCTCCTGCCTCAGCCTCCTGAGTGCTGGGGTTGCAGGCATTTGGAGAAAGTTTGTAAATATGATCTTTTTGCTTGTTTTTTGTGCCGGATATCAAACTCGGGACCTTGCACTTACAAAGTAGGCGGCAGAACCCCTGGATTAGATCCCCGGCCCTAAATATGATCTTTTAAAATGATAAAAGAAGCTTACCTGCTTTTGCTCAGCAAAATTTTAAAACACAACCCCTCTTCCCAAAGAACAGAGAGTAAAGGGAAGAGCAATTGTTTAAAAACTAGACGTCCAAATTGACACGATGAGAGATTACTGCACATGCATCAGAAGGCACACCAAAGGCCCTGAGGGTGTGGGACCACCAGACGGTGCTTCACTGCTGGCCTAGCCAGAATGCAAATGGTACAGCTGCAAGCAGGCGTGGTGGTGCACGCCTGTACTCTCAGCACTCGGGGGCTGAGGCAGGAGGATCTCTGGAGCTTGAGGCCAGCCTGGGCTGCATAGTGAGCTCTAGGCCATCGAGACCCTGCCGCCAGAAATCCAGTCAGTCTATGAATGCTAACAAACAGGAAGAGAGAAGAGGGCTGCGGTGGAGGGCAGAGGTAGAGTGCTGCCAGCGGGGGTCAGGCCCAGGGTTCCACTCCCTTCCGAAGGCAGAGGCCCAGTGACCCAGGGAGGTGGCCATGGCACTGTGTGTGACCACAGGTCCGGGATCCGCCCCACGCTGCCCCGTGTGTCCGCGTGACCCCGGCAGGCGCGGGTAATACTGAGCCACGATTGCTCCTGAGAACCGGGGGCTCTGGGATCGCCTGGTCCGGCCCCCTGTCCGCAACGCTCCCGCTGGCGTTGAATCTCCGCCTTGCCCTTGCCCTGCCCCGCCCTGAGAAGCCGGAACTTGATGATGGACGCGAAAGTAGCCACAGGTTTCCAAAGTTCACCTTTTTTTTTTCTCTTGGTACCGGGGATCGAACTCGGGACCTTTCACTTTCGAGGCAGGCGGCGGAGACACTGAGCTAAATCCCCAGCCCCAAAGTTCACCTTTTAGAGCCGGCATGGCGGTGCATGCCTGTCATCCCAGCACTCTGGGAAGCTGAAGCAGGAGGATCGAAAGCCCGAGCCCAGCCTAAACCCTGTCTCAAAATTAAAAAAAAAAAATTGGAGCTGAGGATGTAGCTCTAGGTTCGTTCTTTACCACCACAAAATAAAGCAGTGCAGCTGGTGGAGTTGTGGACAGAGCTCAACGTGGAGGACCTGGCTTTGAGCCCTCGAACAGCAAAAGAAACGAATACTGCAAACACTAAACACCATGAAGCGCAGCTTTCCAAGCCTCACCTCCACAGGGTCATCCTGAGTGGGCGGCAAGGGACTCGAGTCCGGGTATCTGACACTGTTCTGACGACTTGCGTGAGGGCCATTCCGGTCAACACTGAGAAACACTTGATGATGTTTTCCTCTTGTTATCTAGCTACATCTTTTGTGTGTGATCTAATTTCAGTCCTGAAAGCACTCGGGACTTGACCGTCCCCCACCATGCAGTGGACCACGTCAAGTTTCTGGTTCCCAACAAGTCGGAGCACGAAGACTCCGACAGCCCTTCTGGGGGTAATGCAAGTTCTTGGTAAACTGGGGTTAGCAAAGAACGCTGCTAAGCCAGTGTAACGGGTTCTTCACCTCCCCAGCGCCCTGCCGGTCCTCAGCAAGAACTGTGAGCTCAGACCGGACATTTAGCTGTGGCACCGCCCCTGCATGGAGAGCGCAAGGTCCTCAGTTTGGTACCGGGAAAAAAAAGCACTGTTAGCTCGGTTCAGCAACCCTCCCTTTCTCCTGACTTTGTCTTAGTAACTTTGCATCCACCCAGCACTACCTGCTTCCCAACATTCCTGCTTGCCCATGCTGAATTCAGAATAGCGCCCAGCGCAGTGCTGCGCTCCCTGTACCTATCGCAGAGGTCCTGAATAAAATCAGCCTTCCCATCCTTAACAAGCGTCACCGAAGGCCGGGTGCCATGGCACCGGCCTGTAACCCCAGGGACCCCCTTCCGCCCGGGCCCCGCCTCCTAGAGGCCGGTCGGGTTCCAATCCCTCCCGCGTGGCCGCCTCTGGGCCCAAACCGCACTGGACTGGAGTTTGGTCAGGCAGAGAACCCCGGTCACTGTCCTACACAGGAAATGGGAGAACGAGCTCACTGCTCAGCGCTGCCCGCAGGGCGCGGCCCTAGGTAGGCGTCCCTCTGCCCAGGATGGCGGGAACGCGGGCTGCGCCCCCACGGACGCCCAGGCCCGGGTCCCCCAGAGCCTCAGTCACATCTGGCCTCCCCACTGCGCTGTGACCGCTGGAAACACCTGCTGTCCGCCTGGGCCCCGGCCTTACACAGGGCAAAGCCTTTTCTACCCGGGGAGCGGGGTCAGTAGGCTCGGCTGCGAGCCGCACGCCTACCAGTTCTGAGAAGATTCCGGAAGGAGACAGCAGCCCCCTCGCTTTTCCAGAAGGGCGCGTGCGCGTGTATGCGTACGTGCGTGCGTGCTGCGTGCCGTGGAGTTCCCTGGGGCGGAAGAGACTCCCGCGAGCAGGGCCAGACCAGAGTCTCCGCCCCCCCGTTCCTGCTCAGCCCCCAGCCAGGGCCCAGGCACGAGGACCTCTGTGTAGGGGACACCACCCCGCCCAGCCCTGGCGGCTCCAGGGCTCCCGAGTCACCCTCGGCCACTGAAGCTACTGCGGAGCGCTGGGCACAGAAAGCACGGGTAGCAGCTGACAGCAGTTGGTTTATTATTTATTTGCAGAGCTGGGGCTCGAACCCAGGGGCTTCACATTGAGCTACATCTCCAGCCCTTTTTATTTTATTTTTAAAATTTGGAGTCAGGGTCGGGTCTTACAAAGTCACTAAATTGCCCAGGCTGGGCTCAAACTCCTGATCCTCCCGCCTCAGCCTCCCGGGGTGCGCCACCGTATCTGCTGGTGGTGAAGGAGACACAAGTCTTGCAGCAGACTTTCCTTTCTGTTGGTAAATCCAGGGAATAAAGGCAGAAGTACGACGAAAATGATATACACCGATGGAGAGGCGCGGCGCGAAACCACCATCAGCTGCTGGGCTTTTGCGCTTTGTGTTTGTTTTCACTGTGGCCAGTAGAACATTTCAAAGTACTGTACTCTTGTGGCTCACATTATATTTCTGCTGTAGTGCGCTGGTACAGAAATTAAGAATTTGGTGTTTCTAAAGAAAAGCAAGGAGCAGTAGTACTTAACAATGGCCAGAGTGGGGCTGGGCGTGTAGCTCAGTAGGAGAGCACTTGCTGGGATATCCAAGGTCCTGGGTTTGATCCCCAGTGTTGGAAAAGGAATCAAACCTAATTAAAGAACACTTTCCTCTGTTAAAAATAATTTGTTGGCTCAGCATGGTGGCACACGCCTGTAATCCCAGCTGTCAGGAGGCTGAGGCAGGACAAGTCCAAGTTTGAGGCCAGCCTGGGCAGCTTAAAATGAAAAAATAAGAACATACAGAAAACAGTTGGGAGCGGGTCTGAGGAGCAGAGGAGCATGTGTGCGGCCTGGCTCTGTCCTCAGTACTAGGGGAAAATCTGCCAAACACAGGCCCTGCAGCCAGACATAATTTCTGAATGACATGGAGAAGCTTTTTAAAATTTAGTGAATAATAATGAGTCAAGGTAGGAGAACTAGTTAAAAAAGGAGATGAGGAAAATGGAACTTTTGGGTTTGTGGTGCTATGTGGTTCTCCAGGCACCCTCTGCTCTCCTGAGTATGGACTTAAACTCTGCCTGCTGAGCCTCTGCGGCTCCCCACCAGCTTCAAAGTCGTCCTCTGTGACAGAAGGAGTGGCCCTGCCACCACCTGCCCATCAGGGGTCTGGGCACCGGACTCCACTGGAGATGACAGGAGTTGAGAAAAGTTGACTTTCAAGCCGGGCGTGGTGGTGCAGGCCTGTGATCCCAGCTCACCCAAGGCTGAGGCAGGAGGATTGCTGAGAGTCAGAGACCAGCCTGGGCTGTGCAGTGAGCTCGAGGGCCCCTCTAAGCCCTGGCAATCTCCAGAATTCCAAGGCACCCAGTCTTGGGTAGGAGAGATCTTGGATGGTTCTGTCCCACCAAGGTCTAGGGGCCCAAGAGTATGCAGAACCTGTGTCATTCTCCTCCCTTCCTCCTTTGCTCTTGGGAAAGGAAGCTTTACCAAGTATAATGGCATCCATGAAACATACAACATGTACAACTTTAAAAATTTTTTCTTCAGTACTGGGGATTGAACCCAGGGCTTTCAATCTGACCTACATCCCCTGCCATTTTAAAAAAGTATTATTTATTTTGACACCAGATCTCGCTAAATTGCCCAGGCTGGACTCAAACTTGGGATCCTCCTGCCTCAGCCCCCCAGAGTGCTGGGATTCTGGGTGTGGGAACCATGCCTGGTTATGACCTCTTCAGGTCCATGTGATGCTAGATATTTAATTTTGATTGAGATAACAGTGAAGAAAGTGATGTTTGTCCTTTGGCCCCAATTCAAAGCCCGGGCTCCAGCAAGTCGCCCTGGCCGCCCGGCTCACCTTCCACAGCCGCGTCCTGCCCTCGTAGTGGCCGAGCACCGGGAGGCAGGCCCTGTAGTAGGTCTCCAGACGCTTGGCGACTGTCTTGGCTGCGTCATCTGAGGCCGACCCGCCCAGGCTCCTCTGGAGAAGGCGGCTGGTCATGGTGTCGGCGGAGCAGTCCATGCAGATGACCAAGTGCGGGTCCCCGACCTGGGAGGGGACAGAGCAGGACACGCTCAGAGGGCCTGCGCTGCTGAGGTGGTGGAAAGGCCTGGACCCTTCTTTCCTCTTTCGAGATAGGGGCTCACTACATAGACCAGACTGGCCTCGAGCTCACAGCGATCCTCCAGCTTCAGCCTCTCGAGGGCAGGGATCACAGGAGTGTACTGCCACGCCTGGCTCCATCCTTCTCTTAACTGTCCTTTTGTCCCTGGGGAGTCTGGGATGAACTAAATGTGCCTTGGCTACTTGCCCAGCCCTGGCTGCAAGGAGGTCCTGGCTCTGTGACCCTGCTGTGTCCTTATCGCCCCCTGGAAGGTGCCTGGCCAGTGACAGCAGGCTGGGGTGGGGAGCACGTTTGGGCCACACAGGAGCAGGAGTTGAGGGAGGAGCTGAACGCTTCTCTGCTCGGAAGGCTGCGCGATCCTGCAGGGGGAGCAGGGCGGAGCCCAGAGGGGGGCCCGGCCCCTCGGGCCAAGTCACTCGACGGTGACCGCGCCGGCCAGCAGAGGGCGCGCTCACCCGGGACGCCGCCTAGGCCTCACTGTGAGGACAGGGCTCCTGCGGGTGTAGACGCGAAGGAGCGCGCCCACGAGGGCGTACGGGGGCAGCACACCCAGCACACTAGGGTGAGTTGCAGCGAGCCACGACCCCTTACTAACTAATGCTGGACGCCCAGGGGAAATCAGGGCTTGCGCTGCTGCCTGACCAGGCCGGGGCCCTCACTAAACAGCCTTCGTGCAGGGCTTTGCACGTGGGAGACCCTCAAAATACTTGCTAAGGGTTTGATGAAAGGTTATTTTAAAAAGCATCAGATGAAAGTCGGGTGCAGTGGTGCACACCTGTGATCCCACCACTTGGGAGGCTGGGCCAGGAGGCTTGCTGCAAGCTCAAGGCCAGCCTGGGCTACAGAGTGAGACCGTCTCAAACTAACAACCGAAGACTGCAGGCGAAATGTGACACCGAAGAGACAGCCTTATAAATATGGACCTCTGTGGTCCTGAGTTGTCTTTTCCCCTTGTTGCCCGGACTGGGCGAAGCCATAGGGGCTGGCCCAGCTCTGACAGGCCCCGCTGCCCCGCTGCACTGCGGGCTGGGGTGTGGTGAGGAAGGCTGGAAGCCCGAGGGCGCCCCTGCCGGCCTTCAAGTCCTGGCTGCCGTCCTCCGGGTTGGATCCATCAGCAACCTCCCCCTCCGCCCCCCGGTTTTTGCAGCACTGGGGCTTCAATGGGGACCTTCACTGTAAGTAACACCCCAGCCCTTTCTATTTATTTAGAGACAGGGACTTGCTAAGTTGCTAAAGTGCCCAGGCTGGGCTCACAGGCTTGGAAGTAAAACCAGCCCGGTCTTCGTGGGATCCACGGGGAAAGAGGGACACTTTGAGGGCCCTCAGATGGCGGGATCAAGGCTCGGAGAGGGAAGCCGGGGGAGCGGGCAGGGCGGGCGAGTACCGCCCGATAAGGCTGGACCTTCCCGGGTTCAGGTCCTTAAGCAGTGGCCCCAAACTAGAGGTAGCCCTCCTGCCTCGGCGGCGTCCAGTTGGGAAAGAAGGAACTGAGATCGGGTGGCGCGAACTGCCGAGCCCAGGGAGCGGTCCTCACCCGGAGTGCGAACTCCTCCCCTTGCTTCAGCCCCCGGGGGAAGCCGGAGATCAGGAAACCCCGAGCGTCGCCCAGCCTGGCAGTCATGGCCTCCTGCAGCAGCTCCAGGACGACGGCCTGCGGCAGAGACGGTGGTCAGGACAGGGCGGGCCAGCGGCGGGGACAGACGGCGGACGGCTCGGCTGAGCTCCACCGGCTCTTACTTATTTACTTATTTAGTTTCTTTGACAAGGGGTCTCGCCATGTAGCCTCGCCTGGCCTCCAACTCTCGGAGATCCTCCGAGTGCTGGGATTTCAGGAATACCCCGGCTCTCTGACGCTTGGCAGGGCTTGGGGAGTGTGGGCAGAGCCGCCCTTGATACTTGTGTTGGTCCTCATTGAAGTTTATAGAGTAGAGAGGGAGACAGCTGTAAACGCCGCATTTGGGAGCCTGAGGCAGGAGGATCACTTTGAGTTTGAGGCCAGCCTGGGCTGAATAGCGAGATCCTGTTTCAAAAAACCAAAAATAAAGTAAAAGCATAAAGAGGAAGCCAGAGGCAGCCCCAGAGCCCACCCCAGGCCCTGCAGCGCTGGCCTGGCTCACCGAGGGCGTCTGCTCCCCGACCTCCGCACTGGCTCGGATCAACTGGCTTCGCTCTGAGTTCACCGCCAGCTCCGCCCGCAGCAGTCGCCCGGGCGACAGGTGCGCCAGGCCATACTTGGCCGCCAGCTTCTCGCACTGTGCGCCTTTGCCGGAGCCCGGGCCGCCTGCAAGAAAGGGCCCTGCTCAGCGTGTCCCCTCGGACCGCGGGCACAGCGGGGACCAGGGATGGGCACTGGGAGAGGACGTTGGCCCTGCCCCTGACTGCTCGAAACCCCAGAGGGGCGGGTGCTGCTCCCAATGAGCTAAGTCTCCCTGGAGGGGGCAGGTGGTACTGACAAACAAGACTTGGTGCATACAACCTCTCGAGGTGATGCACGCCTGTGATCCCAGCACTGGGGAGGCTGAGGCAGGAGGATCGCCAGAGTTTGAAGCTAACCTGGGCTACACAGTGAGTTCAAGGCCTGCCTGCACCACACAATGAGAACTTGTCTCTAATAAATAGAGATATAATATTTGTACACTTTATAGGACACAGTATGATAACTTGATAGGTGCATGTGCACAATGTGTAATGAGCAAATCAGGGCAATTGGCTCCTTCTCCTCAAACATTAATCACTTTCCCCATTTCTTACCCCATCATCCCTGGCTTATTTCATTACTTAGCATAATGTCCTCTAGACTTTACCCATGCTGTTGCAAGTGGTGGGGTTCCTCTTTTTGCTGGCTGTGTAATATTTCATCCGGCACACACACCATACACTTTACATGCATTCCTGTGTGTGTGTCTGAAGATAGGGCATTTTCTGTACCCCTTATTCATCCTCTGACTCTCTTTCACTTAGTCCCGGATCAGATACTCCCCCATACAGGAAGCAGATTCAGCCCCAGCTCTGTGCTGCCCAGTGCTGCCAGCACCTTGAGGGTGCCCTCTGCCGTTTTCCCACTTGGACTCCAGGTCCGTCCCTCACAGCCCTTCTGCCCCGGGATTCTTGGGGACAATCTTAGCTTTTGTCCCTCTTGGTGGAAGGGCCACTGTCTCCCCCTTTGCAGCCTCAGCAGATGGCCCAGGAATGGTCCCCAGCATCTGAGCAGCTGTTCTCCACCATATGTGCAGGCTGGGACCCTCTCGGCCTGTCATGGACGGCTAGACACGACGGGAAAACGTGACACACGCGTCACCACCACTTCAGGGAGCAGCCATCCGGGAAGAGCTTCACAGATGACGGGGCTCAGCCTGCCCGGGCGCCTGTGCCTCAGTTTACCCAGAAGCTCCTTCCTGGGATGGCTGGGGCCGCTCATGGGGAACGGATATTAGGAAGCAGAGGGGCCGCGGCCGGCGTCAGCCTCCCTTGAGCAGGACGGGACAGCGTCTGCCCCGACAGGGCCGGTGGACACAGCTGTGTGTCCTCACACAGCTTCCCGGAAACCGGGTGATTTCTCTCCACGATGAAAGCACAGTTTCCATCCTGTCGCTGCCGCCATGTCTCTGAGGCTTTTAACTTAGGTCTTAAATAAAGGGGCCCTGAAGCCCCCAGCACCATTTGTTTTGGGAAATGAAGCCCTCTGAGGAGCCACCCGCACAATAGGCTGGCAAGGGGCTGCCTGGTCGAGGCGGGGGGCTGTCACGGCGCCTGTCACGGCGGCCACGCTGTGACTCAGAGCCTGTACCACACTGCACTTTGAAGGGGCTGTTCTGAGCGGTGTAATCTTTATGCTCAATCGCAAATGCAATTGTTTCTCTTTGTTCTTTGAGACGGCCTCACTGTGTAGTCCAGGCTGGCCTTGAGTGCGCAGCGATCCTCCTGCCTCCTGCCTCTGCCTCAGTGATCGAGGCCGACTTGGGGCCCGACTGAACTGCAGGGAACACAGGAGCATCTGGACTTGGTGGCGTGGCCTCAGCCCTGGGGCACAGGCTGAGCGCGGGCGAGTTCCCAGCGCCAAGGCCAGCGCCGCGCGGTCTGGTCTCCGCCGCCCTCCGGACGCGTCCCTGCGCCCTGTCTTCCCGGCAGCCGCCTGCCCTGCAGAGCGGCTCCTAATCGCCTCTGCAACGCTCCTTCTTGGCGGAACCAAAAACCTGAAAACGAACGAAAGCTTCCGCCGGGGCGCGCAGTTTCCCGAGGGCGCCTTCGGTCTCTGAACGTCGCGGTTCCCGGGCTCGGGTCGGCGAGAACAGCGCGGCCGCCCAGCCCGAGGCCGGAGGCCGGGCCCGAGGGTGCCGCGCTAAGTTCTGGGATCCGCGGGCTCGGGCCCGGAGTGCAGGAGGGGACGGAACCCACCTTTCCGCTCCCTCTGCCCCGCGGAGCGCCCGGGATCCAGGCGGGGACACGGACGCCCCGGTCTCCATCTTGGCCGAGAGCCTCGGGGCCCGCGCCTGTCCAGCGTCCACGTCGGCCGTGCGGCCTCCCCAGGCCCGGCTGCTGCCCACTTCCGCCCGGCGCGGCCTCCTCCGAGCCACCGTCCCGGCCTCGGGGCCCAGGGAAGCGGCCCTTCCCGGGCGGCCCTTCCCCCGACCTCCCTCCCTGCCTGCCTGAGAAAGGACGAACGAAGTCTTTTCCCGCCACAGACCCCTAAATGCTGAGCTCGGTTTCCTTCTACCCTGCGGACAGTGCCCGCCAACACCCACCCTCTCCGTTAGCTCCAGGGCGGGTTCTCCAAGTGCCCCACAGACACTGGACGCTCTGTTTTCATCATAATACTAAGAACTTACTTGCTTTTCATTTACGGTGTGGGACCAGCGATTATAAAACTATGTTAAATAAAAACATTAGTATCCAACCAACTAGCCACTGTGTTCCACCCTATAATGTCTTTGCAGGGAATGGGAGGAAAACAAGGAAGGAAGAAAGAGAAGGAAGGAAGAGGGAAGGAAAGAAGGAAGAAAGGGTCAATAATATCACTTAAGAACACCTTGAGGGCCGAGCAAGGGGGCACAGCTGTAATCTCTGCACTTGAGAGGCTGAGGCAGGAGGACTCCGCTGAGTCTGAGGCTAGCCTGGGCTACATGCAGAGTTCAAGGCCAGCATAAACTACATGGTGAAACCCTGCCTCAAAATTTAAAAAAACCAAAAAAACACCTTGAGGAAGCAGTAAAAAAGAGATTAATTTATTTAATCTTGACCCTTACTCCATACCATTTTAATGTTTTTCATGACAAAAGAGAAGTATGCACAGAATCCTCTAGCACACCTAGGAATTCTGAGTTGCTCAGGGAAAGGAACTTGTGTGACTGAGCGGTGACCTAGTAGCTTTTTAAATCGAAAACTATTTCTAGTTTTTGAAAGATCATTTTATCATGCAAATTATGGATATTTTTTATGAGTACCTGGCAGACATTTTTTTGAAAATAAAGCCTGTTGCTTCAAGAAAAACAACTGGCAGCATTTGTTGCCAATGTTAAAACATTTCAGCCTAGATGAGCTGCTTATTAGCGAATGACTTAGCTCCGACGGCCTCCCGTGGAAATGGGAAGGCCGGTCTGTCCAGGTAGCTCGTAGAGCTCATTGCTTACCAGCGTTCATCTCAGCGCCAAGGCTGCCCGTGTCCCTGAACACGGAGAGCTGCGGACTCAGACAAGGTCCACCGAGGGGCAGGTGTGGCTCTGGGTATGAATCCATGGAGACCGAGGTTAGGGCGCATTTCGGGTGTGAGTAAGCAATGAAAAGCGAGAAGAGAACAAGAAGCCAAAATAGATTGGGTAAGATAATGACCAAGAAAAGAAAGGAAGGAGGGAGGGAAGGAAGGAAGGAAGCCATCAGAAAAGGCTGTGAAGACTGTAGGCATCTCTTAGCGGGACACAATGAAGCTCTTTAAAGAATGTATGTGCTTTTTTGGGGACAGGATCTCGCTCTGTAGCCCAGGCTGGCCTCAAACTCTTGGCAATCCTCAGCCTCCTGAGAGCTGGGATCACAGGCGTGCACCAGCACCTGGCTTCTTTAAAGTATATTTTCACATTTTCCAAATATTCTCTGACTTCAGCAACAACTGAGCCTCAGTCTTGTGCCCCAGTACAGGTCCTCATCTTTTCTGCGGGAACCACTGAAGCTCACAGAACCCCGTTTCTACCCTCTGGGAGTCTGTCCCCTGTAAACTCGGGCTGCTCTTGCAGGTCAAGCAGACGCATCCACAGGCGCCCCGCCCGGAGACTGCCTGCTCTCAGGCCGCAGGCCGGGGGTGGAGAAGGCGGCCTGGGTTGGCGGTCATGTACCCTTAGTCCATCCCGGGGGATCTGCAACAACTCCTCTGTCAGCCCCAATGCCACTTTCAACTGCTGTTTCAGGTTGTTATGGAAACAGACCATACTGCTTCCTAAAGGATTCATTATTTCCACAAATATATTTTTCTCTCCTCATTCTAGGGCATCCGGAGGAGCGAGGCAGACACCGGGACGGAGCAGCCTGGGAACGAGGCTGGTGACTAGAGGAGACGGCTCAGGGAGCCAGGACTTCCGCCCGACCGTGAGGAGGATTCGATCAGACAGCTAAGAGCCCCAGAGGGAGCCAGAGACTGGCAGGAGCCTGTGACCGGAAGTGCAGCCCAGGAGAGCCTGAGCCGGGCCCTTGGAGCTGGCCCTGACGGACACTTCCGCACAGGGCAGGGTGCCTTAGGAGCAGTAATCCCGTGTTAAGAGTAACAGTGACATCTGCGGGGTCCTATGGAGCTAAAAAGCTTCTGCACAGTAAAGGAAACTAGAGTGAAGAGAAAACTGACAGAACGTGAAAAAAATGTTTGCCGCTCCTGCTTAGACTGAGGACTGATATCTAGAATATATAAAGAACTCAAAAAATTCAAACCTTCCAAAATAAAAGACTTAACCAAAAAGTGGGCAACAGAAATGAATAGACACTTCTCAGATGAAGATTACAAACGGCCAATAAATACATGAAAAAGTGCTCAACATCGCTGGCCATTAGAGAAATGGAAATTAAAACAACACTGAGATCCCATCTTACTCCAGAAAGAATGGCCATCATCAAGAAATCAACCAATAATAAATGCTGGCAAGGCTGCCGTGGGGAAAAGGAACCCTTCTACATTGTTGATGGGAACGTAAAATAGTACAACCAACACTATGGAAATGCACATGGAGATTCCTCAAAAACACTAAAACTGGGAATTCTATTTGATCCAGCTATTCTCCTTCTAGGTATCTTCCCAAGAGTTAAAGTCAGGGCTGGGGATTAGCTCAGTGGTTCTGCCTCTGGCCGAGCAAGGTCCTGAGTTCGATCCCCTGTACCAAAAAAAAAAAAGCCATCATATTATAGTGATGTATGCACACCCATGTTCACAGCACCACAACTCATAATAGCGAAATCTTGAAAGTGGCTTATACATCCACCAATAGATAAATGGATAAAGAAAATGCAGTATTTATATACAATGGAGTACTACTCTGCCATAAAGAAGAATAAACAGTCATTTGTAGGAAAACATGTATTTTGAGACTATAATGTTAAATGAAATAAATCAGAAACACAGCTCACATATCTCATGGTTTCTCTTATATGAGAAACCCAAATTATAAATAAAAAGCAAAATAAAAGATAATAAGAAAGACTCTGGCTAATAACTACTCCAGCTGTGATTCTTCTAGATGCAAAGGCAGAACTTCAAAAACTGAAAAAAAATTCAGTCATTCAGACAAAACCACTGTTCCACTGCAACCTTCATCCTTACTGATTAAAATCCACAATTTATGACATCCTCTGTGCTTTCATAAGCTTGCTTCAAACTGACCTGTGATAATATAGCCCCAAAATATCATTCTACCACCTGACGACACACTGGTGTTTAGGGTAAAGTAGAAGGAGACATCCTCTTGTACCTTCTGCCTAAACAGTACACTGAGATCTTTTTTTCCCTTTAAATATAACCAGAGTAGTGACTGACCCATGAGCTAAAATTCAGGACAGTTTGGCTGATACAAGAAAAACCTGTTCCCACAGCGACAGTTTTGAGTGTGAGTCTCAAGCTCTGTCTAAGACCAGAGATTTGCTGTTGCTTTGACTTTCTAGAGGCCGCAGAACTCTGGGACGGGCCATCCGAGGTCCTTGGTTCTGCCCAGAGAGCCAGACTGGACATTTGAAGATGCATTTCCTAATTCACCTCTCAACTAGCATCACTGCTGGAGGCAGGAACAGCCACCACACAGTGGACCGCGCCATTGTTAAAGCTTTCGGCTTCACCAGATTACTAAAAAGGCAGACTTCTCTCCAGTACCACAGGGGTCCGACTTTGAATTTGTACAAGTTTAAAGGATTTATCCTTCTTCTCATTTGATGTCTTATATAAAAGCCAAACAGCACATACAATAAATACATAGTGCTCAGTCTGCATGCTAAGAAAACATTATTAAAATTTATGTGGGAAAGGGAGTTTTTTATTCATTAAGTTTAGGAATACAGTATGCTGACATTCATCATTGGGAACTTGTACCTTTACATGATGTATCCTAGTTTTTATTTTCCCCCCATTCCCCTGCCCTCCCTATTTACAAAGACTTTGTTTCCGTTTTTTCCTTTTCTCAGATTTATTCCTTTCCCTTCTTTCCTTTCCCCTACCCCTCCCACTTCCCTTTCCCCTTTGGACCTTTTCTTCCTATTTCACATTATCTATTATACATTTTGATCCTCATTTACACTTTGTTTCTCATACCAGAGAAACTATTCGGTATTTACACGTGTGTCCTATTTACTTCACTTAATAAATAAATGGCCTCAGTGTGCTATAAATGTCTTTATATTTAGACATTTAGCTATAAATGTCTCTAGTTTCTCATTCTTGATGGCTGAGTAGTACTTCATTTTACTTTAAAAAACCCACATCTAGTCACCAGTTGATGGGCTGGAAAGGGAATTTTTAGTAATCTACAAGCACTGCTGACTTTAAAAATGATGATACGGGTTCCTCTTCAGAAGACACATAGCACATGTTTTACTTTTTGGAAAAAGAACGCAAAATCAGCGTGGGAGGCGTCCATCCAATTCCTAAGGTCGAGGTCAAGTGGAGGCCGCAGCTGGCGAGGTTTCGGAGGAAGCCTCTCTTCCCTCTGGCCTTCCCACTGGATCCACCCCATCTCGGCTCAACCCTCCCGTCCTCGGGACCCTCCCCACCTTCTGCTCAGCCCTCTGCACTTGTGCGGCTCGCGATCTCAGAGTCCCCAGCCCGTCCGCAGCTCTGCGTGCTTGGCCACGCGGGTCGGTCGCAGCCACAGCACACGAGAGCCTGGGCCGAGGGCCGCAGCCTTGGGCCCTGCTCGCCTCCCAGCCCCAGGTGAGTGGATGAGCCTGACCGGACCTCGTCTCTGGGCCTGTTTCCTCTTCTGATGGAGAGTGGGGTCACACAGAGGTTTCCCATGCGCGGTGCGGAACGAGACTCCGAGCTGATCCACTTCTCTCCAGCACGGGCGCCGTTCTCGGCCCACTCACCCCACAGGTGCAGGTCCCTTGGCTATTTCCCACATAAACAGGCGCAGTTTTGTAATACCTGAATGACTGGCAGGGGAAGCGCTGCCTTCTCACGGCATCTGCATTCTCCCTCAGCGCCATGCTGCGCCCCAGCCCAGTGCTCTGCCGCCCAGCTGCACCCGGTTCCCAGGCACTGGACACGGCTGCACAACTTCCGCTCATTTTCATGGGGGAAAACCGGAAGTTTGCTTTCACACTTATCAGCTACGTGAGCTTGGATAATTTCCTTAACCTACCCGAGTCTCAGTTTTCTCATCTGTGTTACAGACTTGTAATACAAGTAGGATTAAATGAAGTAACCTGTAAAGATAGCAGATTACAGTGATACATGCACACCCATGGTATAGCAGCGCAAACGGAATAGCTAAATCTTGGAAGCAGCCTATATTCCACCAACAGGTAAGTGGATAAAGACAATGTGGCACTTATACACAATGGAGTACTACTCTGCCATAAAGAAGGATACATTTGAGTCATTTGTAGGAAAATGGATGCACCTAATGTTAAATGAAATAAATCAGACACACAAGCTTAAATATCTCATGGTTTCTCTTATATGAGAAACCCAAAGCATAAATAAATTAAAGAACAAAATAAAAGATAAGTAATAGAAAACCAAGAGATGGATCTTTTGCAAACGGAAGGGGACCAAGAGATGGAGGGAGGGAGAGGGAGAGGAGGGGAAAGGGATGGAAAAAGAATTAAGCTTCGAGGAACCAGCCATTGTGCACTGCAAAAACACACTAACAAAAACAAGGCACACCCGACCCAGCAGGTGCTCAGGTTAATCCCACATATGTTTAATCCCACAATTAATTTATCAGTGGGTTTCATATACCACGGCACAGAACAAATGGGACTCCCTCTTCCACCCCCAGTGTTCTGGGGATGGGATCCAGGGCCTGGCGCCCTTAGGGAGCTTTTACTGTTAGTGGTGTGGACACAGAGCGCAGCTACGCAGATCTATTGAATGTGTGGTCACGGACACATTCTGCTTAGAAATGAGAGGGCAAGGTGTGTGTCAGAGTTTAACACACGGCAGCTTCCTAACCTTGTAATGAGCTTTACTATTGTACAGCCACACTCTAAGCGGTTTGAGTTCACAGACCTTGAACTCAGTAACTGCTAACACCTTTTGGTTCAAATACCTGTGACTCTGGGGTTCCTGGAAATGAGTGGGCCACATGGGTCCTGCTGAAAAGATACAGGACCAAGCCAAGGATGTAGCTCAGTGGCACCTTGCCTGCCTCACAAGCTCAAGATCCTGAGTTCGATCCCCAGTACCAAAAAAAAGAGAAAGATACAAGACCTAAAGTATAAAACTGAGTAAGTGCAGGAGAAAATGTGGAAACCTTGAGGGTATTATTATGACCAAAAAATAAAGACAACTTCCAAACGGGGAGAAATGAACCTTTTCCCACTACTAAGTTGCTATTAACAGCAACTGTATTAGAGAATTTGAAGGCTGTTACTCACCCATAATGAAAATAATTTTACATTTCCTCAAATCTTCCACGAGACCTTTAAGATAAGAATAATTTAAGTTATTGGTAAAAAATACGGCATCGAAGTCCTGATTTTACTCATGTTATGAAAACCCTAATCTTATAGTTTTTTTCAGTAAGAAGCTCGAACTTGAGCAAATGGGGTAAAAGGCTACAGTCAGTAGGCACTGATGACTATTTTAGCCTTATTCCCAGACATAGGTAATATATTTTCATTTTAACATGTGCTATCAATCTTATGTGGTAAAAGTGATGTCATTAAACAGTATGAATCACAAAGCAGGCTAATTTTAAAACTTCTTTCAAAATGTTCCTAAGTATCGTAGTTTGGTGCTATTGCACATTTGCTAATTTTCCTTTTAATAAAGAACAGTTAATGCATAAGTAGAATGTCTAGAAGACAAAGTTTTGAAAAATAGTTCCTATTTACAGCGAATTATGCTTTTTCCCATTTAAAGCCATGATATAAAATTTCCTTTTAAAACCAATGTAGTTGAGCAACAATAGTGAGTTAACTTTCAGAGAAATATTAAGTAAATGATATGCAATACCAGTGTATAAAAAAAAGAATCTCAACAGTGACAGGTGAGGCCTGGGGTTTGGGAGCCCCTGGTGTAAGGGAAAGGAATGCATCACAGTAGGAATTTTAGGCCAAGCATGAATCTCTCTGGCACTGCGGAGTCCTAGAGGATTTATGGTTGTCGTGTTGTACTGGGAGCCTGAGGAGCGGGTGAATGACAGCTACATTTCTGGTCTGGCTACCAACTGGCTGGCTCTCTGAAAGTTTCTCCATCTCTAAAACGACTACGTTGAACTCAGTGACCGCAAGCACCTTTTGGTTCCAATACCTGTGATTCCGGGGTTCCTGAAGTGAGTGGGGCACATACAGAAACGGGCCCCTTTGCGATCACTCACTGGTCACTCAACAGGAAGGGTGATGGGTTTCAGATCCCTCCCTAAACAAAGCACCATCCTGAGGGACCCTGGCAAAGGTAAGATCACCTGGAGGGACGACTTCAACCCAGACTTGGATGAGGCACAGCTTCGTGAGCCCAGGCTCTCTGGGTTCGGAAAACACCAGTGGTTGGTGCTCAAATCTGGAAGCAGGACCTCCTCAAACTTTAAAAAAGTAAAATTTAGAGCAAGGGACCTGAGGACAAAACTAAGTCTGCTTCAGAGAGGAGCTGAGACTGGTGATCTCTCTTGCTTTAAGGTCGGAGGTTTTACGTAGACCTTTCACATGGCCAGAGGTCCAGCCAGCCATGACAGCACGACAGTTAGCATTGCTGTTTCCTCACCTGGGCCAGGGCTGGCTGAGGCCAGGGGACAGGGCTTTTGGGTGGCTAAAGACCACAGTGGGAGCTAGTTCAGGCAGCTGTGACACTGGGAGAGGGAATCTGTATGAGCCACGCGGCAGCTCCTACTTCAAGGGCACCTGAAGAAAACAGGATGGTGAAAGCCAGCCATCTCCCCAGCTCTGATTCCGTCCATGGACTGGCTAATTCAGGGAGGTTTGGTCTAGTGTTTGCAACTGCAAGGTTTGGGTGGAGGTGAGGCAGGCTAATTCCATAAAGAACTCCAAGGCTTCCAGAAGGGTCTCCCTGATGTGTGTGGGCGAAGCCAGGCAAAACTCCAGCATGAAATCTGTGGGTGCTGGTGGATCAGGGATGTGGTTGGTGAGCATTAGACCTCAACGCCAGGATTTTAGAGCACCATGCTGTCCAAGCGAAGGTGCCAGGGCTGGCTGCTCCACTCAGTCAGACAGGGACTAGGGCCGAGAGAGTAATGGGGTGATTCTGAATAATTTATTGTCCTTGTGAATCCCTGTGCTAAGGGAGATGCTTTTCAAACTGCAAGACAACTGAGGAGACATGACTACTATGATGTAGGATGAAAAGCATGGAATTGTCGCTTAGACACTGAAGTCCGGGGGTGTTTGGTGTGTGTTGGAGGTGCCCCAGCCCTTGCACTGCATTCTAGACCTGGGCTGAGCCTCCTGGAGTGGCTCCCTGAGTTCCAGTCCGGGTGGGGCTCTGGGCCCTGGCTGGGCCTGACCCTGGTAGCAGTTGCTTTCCCTATTCCTCTGGGTGAGAGCTGACTGAAATGATGGTTGTGATTATTTAGAGAAGTTGTAGGTTTTTAATTCTCATCTTGCTGGTAAAATTGCAATTTTTATATTTAAATCAACAGGACTGTAGCTTATACTTTGTATTTATGTAGATGATTAATTTTGAAAGATCACTATTCTGACAGTTATAGAATTATATTTTAGTGGAATTTTTTTTGGAAGGGTAGTACTGGGGATTGAACCCAGAGCATCAGCACTGAGCTATGTTCCTCAGCCTTTTAAATAGTTTTTTTTTGTTGTTGTTGTTGTTGATTTTTGAGGCAGGGTCATGCTAAGTTGCTAAGCTGCCCAGGCTGGGCTTGAACTTAAAACCTTCTGCCTCAACCTCCCAGAGTGCTAGAAGTGGTGCTTTTACATACAAAATGCTATATACATGTCTGCAGGAATCCATTAAGAGCTGAGCAGAAGTGCCAATCCTATGCTATGCTGGAGGTGAGTCATAAGCTAGTCTCTACAGAGGAGCTCATGGTGAGTGGGAAAATCTTATGTTGTCTGGAGCTTTCCATTAAACACAGATCCACTCGAGTCCCTGAAATATGGGACCAGACTGCTGTCTCATGAGGCTGCAAAACTTGGAATCTACTTGCAAGCTGAAAGTGGCCATGGTGATCATGGTCTCTCGGTGCTTGTATGTATTTTGGTGTGATTATATTCCATTTCAGTTTTTAAAAATAGTTTTTAGTCAGTGATGGTACATTCACACAATGTCATTATCACAAATTATGGCATTTTTAATGACATGGGAGCATACTTATAATATGTACAAAATATTGGAGCCATTTGCATATACAGGTATTCTCAACTGTAAAACTAGCTATATAGAAAATACCCTGAAATGAAATGCACTGGAATGTTGTCCATGATCATTCATAGGTTGTAAGGTTTTAGATGTCTCTTATTTTCCATCTCAAGAAATTCCACAGTGTGTGTTAAGTTTATAACCAGGAAAAAAGAAACTGTAGTAAGCAATCCATCATTTCATGTCCCATGGAGACAGAGTTGATTCTTTGCACTTTGCTCAGTGACAGCTAAGTTATGGCTCACATTTGTGTGCCTTTCTTTGTGAATCACTCTGATGTGACTATGATTTTCATATACTGCTATTGTCATTATTATCAAATGACACTTTATCTACCACTGCATGCCGGGGGGATCGATGCAGGGTTAGAGTTGGGATTATTTAAAGAGCTTCATTACATACTTTCCGTGTTCACAGTCAATACTGTAAACAGATTTCCACGAACTGTAATGATGACAACCTGTTTTACAAAGTGGAAATGTTAGAAATATTTTTTTCTAGGGCCATTATGAACCTTATCTTTTCTGACCAGTCCTAAATTCAGATCCTTTTATCTGTTTTCATTTACAGGTGTAGCTAGTTGGGAGTAGATTTTTTTTTTTTTTGGTACCAGGGATGGAACTTGGGACCTTGCACTTTTGAGACAGGCGGCAGAACCACCGAGCTAAATCCCCAGCCCTGGGAGTAGATTTTCATTTTTGTGAGACTTTTAATATGACAAAAACTACAAGGCAGTGTAGTCTTGGTGTGTGTTGGGCGGGTCCCCAGTGGTACACTGCTGAATGGTAGTGTGGTCCAGTTCAGTTGGAGAATGTAATTAAAGTTGGACAGCTCTCATTACTGGAGGACTTGTGGGGGCCTTGCTTTGCTAGTATAATGTGAATCTCCCAACGGGAATGGAAAGTAAAGCCTTCCTGGACATGTCTGAACACTAAGCATCTGAACACTGCTTCGGCAAGCATCTTGAGAGTCACATTCCCCGGGTGGTGAAGAAATGCCTCTTGGTGGCAAAGTCCTTTAATTCTTTCCCCGGACCCGAAGGAAGAGATCCACAGAGTTCCACTCCTACTCTTACTCACACTGTTGCTGTTTTACTATTCCTTAGCTGCTGTTTAATGAAGAAGTCATGGGCAAGGCCACCCTAATCCTTCCCGGTCTGCCCAGCAGAGGAACTCACCTCCCACAGGGTCCTCTCCAAAGACGTCTAGCTGGTCATCACCCTGTAGAGGGAGGCACGGCATGAGATGATGATACTAACAGTATCGTTCAAGGTCCTTACCACATTCATTAATGTACTTAAACTTCCAAACAGCTCTACGAGGGAGGGACTTCTGAATAAGTCCACGAGGGAAAACATTTTACAGATAAAGAAGCAGAATTCCAGAAATTTAAACCTGAGGCCTCTGTCCTTGGAGTCCATGCTTTTTGTAATTAAAGAGTAATAGTCAATATAGTAAAAATCAGTACGGTAATAATTAATAACAGTAATGCTTAATTTTCTTGGTGCATAAACTCTGTATGGATAGAAAAGTTGACTTCAAGAAGACAAAATCCTTCAGGGTCAGAAATGAGTGGCTAGGTGTGGTCACAGCTGTTTTGTGAAAATTTTATTTTTTTTGGTACCGGGGATCGAACTCGGGTCCTTGTGTTTGCGCAGCAGGTGGTGAAACCACTGAGCTAAATCCCTGGCCCTTGTTTTGTGAATTTTTAACTAGATGCTCCGTTTTCCTTACAGAGTAGCCCATAGTATTTGGGGAAAATTTGTTTAAAATATTATTAAAAGGGGCAGAGATTTAGCTCAGTGGTTCTGCTGCCTGTCTCACAAGCACAGGGTCCCGAGTTCAATCCCTGCTATCAAAACCAAAATATTGTTAAAAGGCATTTTTTTTGCATTTTCAGTCCCACCTCTGTGTCCATCTATCTTACTACCCCCATTCCCTCACCGTTTGTAGGTAACCATGTAAAAAGTTTCTTTCCAGGTACATAAAAGATGACTTCCATATGGCCAGGGACACAGGTGGCTTCTGTATATCCACATGACACCCATTTCTTACACAAAGGTAGAATGCTCTTATTACACATGTATATGTGTTCATGATGTGACACTGTAACACACTGTTGTTCCACTTGCCTTTTCACTTCCAGATGTATTCTGGAGACCTTTCTAGATGAATGTAAAATGTTCTCAGGAGAGAATGTTCTAAGTTGTACACTATTCCACTGTATGGTTGATACCATAGTTTTTGGGGTTTTTAAAAACTATTTATTTATTTAGCAGTACCAGGGGATTGAACCAGGGCTTTTGTACTGAGCTACATCCCCAGCCTTTAACAAATGCGTTTTGAGATAGGGTCTCCCTAAGTTGCCCGTGCTGGGCTTGAACTTGCTGTCCTTCTGCCTCAGCCTCCCAGGGTGCTGGGATTACGTGCACGCCATCACCCCCACCTTAAACCAGCCTTTTATTGATGGGACATCGAGTTGTTTCCAATCTTTACTATTTTTGGGAAAGTAGCCCAGAAAGTAAATGTGCATAAATGTCATTTTAGGGTACACGGGGTGGGGGGAGATGGTCACAGAGTAAATGTATTTATAACTTTGATAGCTTTTTTCCAAAACGCTCTCAAAAGGTTGTGCTCTTCTGCAGGGACAGTCTGTGGCTGGCACTCAACCCCAGCCTCTTGCCCTAATTCTCTTTGAGGTGAAGTCAGTAAACTGAGGCTGTCTGGGGGGCAGAACGCTCCCCCAGGTAAGGGTTGGGAAAGACACTGCTCCACCCCTTGTAGCACACAGGCTCCTCAGAGCCATTCCAGGTGGCAGGAGGCTTAGGCGGGGCAGTGTGCAAGTGGAGAGCTCCCTGGCAGTCGGCGCTGCTGACACTGGGCCCGCTGTACCCTGAGCTCCCTGCACCTGGCCTCCTCCATGGGCCCCCCGCCGCTGCCTGGACAGCTGGCTGCCTGTCGGGTACAACCAAGGGCAGTGAATACCTGTGCCCAGACGCGGCCGCACAGTGAGAGGCTTGGTAATGACTGGGAGAAGAGGACCATGGACTCAGAATCTGCTATTCCTCCTCAAACAGCTGTTGAATATATCCAGGTAATGTCAAAAGGAGTCCTCTCCCTTACTTTTCTTTTTTTAACTGGATTTTTGAGACTGTGTCTTGCTGTGGAGCCCAGGCTGGCCTGGAACTCACAGTGATCCTCCTGCCGCAGCCTCTGGAGTGCTGGGATTCCAGACATGTACCTACCACGCCCGGCTTCTCCCTCACTTTTTAATGTTACTTTTAGGTCATCAGATAACGGCCACCTGACAGCTAAGCTGCATCTGATCTTTCTTGATGTGGCGTCACATCTTGGGAGTTGGAGAGAGGTCAAGCTGAACTCACGAGCCAGTGAAACACACTATGAAAAGGCCTATGTGGCCTCGTTGGCTCTGGAGCCTGCCCCCTTTTCATCCTCAGCTCTCGTTTATAGTCTTCTGTTTGCCCAAATCCTTCGAACAGAGCCTCACCTTATTTCCATGAAGTTGTTGAGAGTAAACAGGTTGCTGGGGCCTCGAAGCCCCATGTCTGAGCTGACATGAAAGCCAGGTGAGCCAGATGTCTCCTTGCAGGGAATTATTTTCCAGTGACAATCAGTACATCTCATGGTGTCCATGTGAGTCTTTTGTAAATAAAATTAACCTCACACTGGACACACACACACACACACACACACACACACACACACACACAGGAGCAGTGAATGGCAAACACTTTTGGTTTTGGCAAACCAAAAGATGCCAACCAGCCCCTAAATCTTGTACTCAGCCAGGTATGATGGTGCACTCCAGTAACCCCAGTACTTGGGAGGCTGAGGCAGGAGGATCACCAAGAGTCTGAGGCCAGTATGGGCCACTTAGTGAGATCAAGGCCAGCTTGAAAGACATAGTGAGACCCTGTCTCAAAAAAACCAAAAAACAAACAAAAAAAACCCCAATCAGGGCTGGGGATTTAGCTTAGTGGTTCCAATGCCTGCCTCAAAAGCGCAAGGTCCTGAGTTTGATCCCCAGTACCAAAAAAAACCCCAAAATAACAAAAAAACAATCAATCAATCAATGATGCACTAACTCTTGCTTCTTTTCCAGTGTGCTCTGTGCTGTGCAGGAAAGGCATTCATTTTGGAAGCTCACTGGGACCAGGGGAGGGCACAGCCCATCCAGGAAGCACGAGGGAGGGTTTTACGCCTGGTGCTTTGAGGCTTTATCTTCAGCGAGTGGTCCTGGGGAAACCCAATGCTGTATCAACCCCTTCTACTCCGAGAGCCAGGGACACCTCTGGGTCACACACAAGCTTTTCCCGTGGTGCTGTTCCAGCCTGTCACCTTCTGTGACCAAAATCTCCATCAGGGAGCATAGCTCTGCAGGCAGCAGGGTGGCGTGGTGACTTTCCAGCAGGGCACTGAGTGGGACAAAACCCAGGTCAGACTCTATGTAAATGGCATTTATGACTCACAAATATGGAGCCAAGTTGCAGCCGCAGTGATGTGATTAATACCAGCAAAATCTCTAAGGCGATTCAGCTCGTCACATCTTTCCAGTGCTCTGTACTGGGTAGAAGTTGGTGACGGGGTGGGGGAACCTGGGGTCCTCCTGAAGGGGCACATGCAGAGCCTTAAGGGGACTCAGTGGCCTTTGGGGAAATGCAGGTTTGGACCACAGGCTTGTTCGGTGTCTCTCACTCACTCTGAAGTTGAGCCAGAACCGCACAGGAGCCACAGCTGCCCATGTGCATCCCGCTGTCTCTGTGGATGAGCAGGCTGGAGACTGTGTGTGTGGAGCCGGATTTGCGGGAAGAGCCACTGACCACTGCATGTTTTCCTTTGGCCTTGCAGTGCCTGTCCCTGCAGCTCCAATGTGGAGGTCTGGCCACTTCACTCCTAGGTCCTTGCATGACTGAATTTTAGATCAGGGAGATCCAAATGGAACCCTTAGCAGACAGATGGGCTCACCAATTGTGAGACACTGTGTTCTCTGACCTGCTTTGATCTCGGCATCCTTTGTACTCCTGGCTACAGGACCAATGTCCCGAGGCACTGTCAGGAGCGCATCATGGCAGGACGAGCAGCTGGCACTTCGCTGCAAGGCTGCATGCAGAAGTGACCTTGACCGACCCTCACTGCACTGCGGTGGATGAGGACCCCGGTGACCAGAGCTGGGAGGAGTCTGGGTGAGATAGGCTTGGATTCCCACTGTCCCAGGGGGCTCCCTGATGAACGCCTGCATCCTTGGTGACACCTTTCACTGCTGTTGGGGTGCCCGGCACAGAGCTTCCCCGTAGACACTTCTGACCTAGGGAGCCACAAAATGAAAGGTGTCCCGGGAGGTGGAAGGAAAGGGTGGTCGGCTGCTCCCTGGGGCAGCTCCCTCACTCAGTTACTGGTTTGTAGTAACCAGTGCATTTCACAGCAGGGCGTCAAATGGCATTATGAGGAAGAGGCTTATCTGACAACAAATTGTTGCAATAAAGCTTCATTTCTTACCCTAAAATTCACCCCAAAACAATGCGGCCAAAAAAGACTATTTTTTTCTTCTGATACCAAGTACTGACAACTTCAAAATGCAAAATAAATACATACATAAATCTAAACAAAAAATAAAAATAAGGAAAGGATTTCAGAGATTCTCTGGTTTTGGAGACAGTATCTTTTCTTTTACTTCTGATAGCATTGCACAGATTACATCAGTTCTGGAAAATCAGGAACCATGAAATGTTAGCATATGAGGATTTTCCTAGATTCCTACTTAAACTGGCCTGCCAACTTGTCTTTGGTTATAAGAAGTAACAGGAAACAAAACTGTCCTGTAGTTCTTGGAAAAGGAGCGGAGTCTCAATATGCTAGAACAACAGTTAAACAGAGGTGCTGAGCGTTTCCCCATCCCAAAGATGAACTTATTGGGATTTTTTCCATTATGCTTTCTTTAAAAAACAGCAACAGCAAAACACCTCACATGTAAACAATTTTAGAAATGATGCCCGGAGCAGTTATTTAGGAAGCACTGGAGCGTTTCTGACTGAGCACTCCCATCAGACCGTGGGGAACACCAGAGCGGGTGTGTTTGCTACTTGGCCTTTTCCAGAAGAGGAAGCCGGCTGGGAGAGGGGCCATGGCCTTCAGCAGAACGAGCAGGTTGGCAGGTCCCAGGCCAAGCCTGCGTCTGCCCTGCCTGGAGGGAGGAGACAGAG